ATTATTTCGCATCCACCAGAAGAGGGAGCTATTGCCGACGAACCACTGTGGCTATATCGAGCACCAGACATTCCAGGCTGATCAAATTGCCCACCACGTGCCAAATGCAGGCCTGCAAAATCCTGAGATTTCGGAAGTGTACTACTGAAAACCCGACCATCCCCCCAAAAAAACAACAACGACGACGACAACGACGACAACGACGACAACCACAACACTACTAAACAAACTAAACCCCAAAAGGCACAAGAGTAAAATTCCGTGACCTGGGAGTGGGAGATAATACCATTTATCTCCGAATATTCTCAAAGCGAATCCTGATAGCAATGAGTCTTGAGTGGGCTCAGGCACTGTCTAAATGTGCCTGCCCACCTATGATGTTGGAAGATACATGGGTGTTAGTAGTGAAGCCCGTCTAACCAGGATATTTTCCCCATTTTTGACGGGCTTCGACCAATCAGAAGGCCGGATTTGGCCCCACGTGACCCTCATTAGCATAAAATGAGCAACGGGAATCTACCATTCACCACGGGGAGTACCATGGGCGGAGGGGCTTGTGTAAATGCAAATAATTAACGGCGTGTACCATTATTATGGTATTGAATATACGTATAATAAATATGCATTTTACGTAAATTGAAATGTACGAAACAATTATGATTGTCTAATTGAAGAATTTATCTTTTAGTTTAATATTATCGAGTACGGCGAACATCGTCTAGAATGGAGCATGGAGCAACCCGTAAGATTTGTTGCGAATGACTCGTCCCGGTAGTCCATTGTGCAATCCACACGGGCAAATTCGTGTACGTGTACAGACATCCCCACAAAATCGAGAAAGTTTACTGTCAGGCAAAGGATTAGTTGGATTGGCCCTGTCGCTATGATTCTCTGTAATATAGCGTATAAAAATGTTGCATTATGATTTCAGTTGCCGTCCCTACGAGTTGTGTAACGGTAGTGAACACAGCCACCTGTTTGCGTGAGATAATCTCTCGGACAATAGACTGTAATTGGCAGCGCACGGCATGAAAGGGAGCTTCATAATACGCCAAAGAAGTCAATGAAATTGACTGACTAAACATTATTTTATGTATACAGCCGTGCCGTGGGCTGCCAATTACAGCCATTGTCCGAGGGATTATAATCGATATAATGAACACTGTCTTGATCGAATTACGTCTTTATGCATAAGGGAAACAGCTCTATCTGATCGGACGGTGTAAATATACAATGCGTAGGATGCAGTCAGTCCCATAATATAGTGTTTTGCTGTTTTGCTGTTTTTTCTTTACCTTACATTGCGTTTACACTGTTTTACACAAACTGTCGCAAGAAGGTTTTTACATACCATTTTTAAAACAATGAAACTCAGTGTTGCATGACCAGAATTATTCATCACAGGTATCAATGGAAAGCTATACTTCCTATCATTTATGATGAAGCCATATTTACATGTATACAGTTCGCAGTTTATTCACATTATAGTTTATGGGTCACCTTTTTGGAGGGACACCCTATAGTATACAAATAATTATTGACTGCTTCGAGTGGTGAGTAAAACTAGCCTCCCGAGGTGATCCATGAAGCATTCTACATGTATTTTTCCCGAGGCGAAGCCGAGGAAAAATAAAATGCTACATGGATCACCGAGGTAGGCTAGTTTTACACCACAAGATAAAACAGTCACCATCAATATTTGTTTTATAACACCTCGCCGACAGATTATGCTTGATTTTAAGCGATAACTGATTAATGTAATCTAAATACAATTAAAATGTACATGTACTTCAATTTGAATACGAAATTAGTTGAACATTTACTTGCACTTTTCTGAACTACCCCTTCACGAAATGTTTGAACCCAATTCTGTAGCGACTAGCGAAGCGCTTTTTACACGCACACCCGTATGCATAGAACTTTTGGCCGTGCACAGCAAAACGTAAAAATAGCAAATGCCACGTGACTTGCTCTCGGCCAATCAAGATAAGGAAGCTGTGGATGAGGTGTTATAATATAGGTTACCAGATGTTTCGCATGGTTACGTTTTTGTTACGCGTTTTCATGGCTTAGAGATTCTCTACACTTTGCAGCTATCCGCTCCGTTCACAAGTACCCCCTCACCGGCAATGAGATCAGTGGGGGTGACCGATCGACGCCATCTTGCCTGACTGCATTATTTTGCCGCGTTGAAGCCTAAGCTGCTGATTGGTCAATTGGCTGCCATGTTTTTTGTAATTTTACAAAAATGGGTTGCTGAAAGAAGGCGCCCGCTGAATTCATTTCATTTCATTTATTTCATTTATTAATTTCACAGGTAAAAATTCAAGTACAGACAATACAGTAAAGAAAACAAAAACATGCACATACAGTTAGGAGAGAGAACAAGAAAAAAAAAAAAAAAGAAGTAGCACCCCTGATGGATTTTAAAAAAGTAAACTAAATTACTATCAAGTTAATCTCCTGATGCCACAATTTAAGAAGAGACAATACAAAAGGACATTACAAATGGACATTATTAAAACATGGCTTACAGTATAAGAATATAGAACTATACAAGCAGTTAAAACTTTAAAAGCACAAATGGGCATTAAAAAATACAAATTCGGTAAAAGAGAGATTCGAGTGAATTATAATGCAAAAGGCACTATAAAATTGAGGGAAAAAAACAAGCAGCAAGGTATTTGAATGGGCAAGGCAACTAGAAAGTTAAACTGTTTTGGTCAAGGGGACTTCCTGGCCAGGGACTAATAAATGATTTCTGAGAGAATTTGTAAAGGAGGATAAACTATGGATAATTGTATCTTTAATGAAGGCCGGTAGTTCATCCCATAATCTAGGGAATCTGTGAAAAAGAGAATGATGGGCAGCATTGGAACGAGCCCGATGATGGACAAATTTAACAGATTCGATATGTCTACAATTAATGGGAATTAGAGTGTCAGTGTCAATGTCAAATTTATTATATAAACATTTAATAACAAACGTAATTGAAAGGAAATGAACCCTGTTGATTAAAAGAGGCAGACCCAGCTTGACACACCTGTCTGAATATTCAATTTCATTTACAGAATCAATTAAAACCCTTCTCGGCAGACCCAAACAAAAACGGGTGAATCGCCTCTGTACCTTCTCTAGCGTTTTTGCTGAGTCGAAAGAACAGGGCACCAGACTGGAGCTGCGTATTCAAGTATGGGTCTGCTAATTGAGCGATGGGTCTGCTAATTGAGCGATGATTCTGGAGGTCAAGAAATATTAAGAGGAGGTATTTTCTAAATCTTCAGGCAGTGCAGAATCGATGTTTCTCTCAAGGTATCCAAAATCATGACATGTCTATATTTCCGCCATGATGGAAGCTTTGACCCGAAAGCAATAACCTCGGCCATGACAATGGTGGCAAAGTTGATAATGCTTGCCACGATTTTTTCATTCGATCTTTCAATAGGGGCAAAGTTCATACCTTTCCCCTGATGGTTTTTCTTTTCATTTAAAAGTTTCATTGACGTTGCTAGCATTCTGTACTCAACATTAACAAATATCAAGGTTCACACAAATCCCAACCTAATAGGAGTGGGACGGGCTTCCATTGAAACTAGTTCCAGTGTAGTTTCGTTTTAATAAAACAGCTATTCATGTGTTAACCTTTGCAAGTTTTTCTCATAAAAACTCAGTAGACCGATAAATCCTTGCCTAGCCCCAAACTTGCCACCTACCGATCGTAAACATAAAGATGCATTTGGTCTGTTAGTCTTTTATATTTGCCATTCCCTGTAACAAACAAATAACATTGCAAATATATCAAGAGCTACATCGTTTAGGCCTATGTGAATATTTTTATGAACAGAAATTCACCCGCTTCCAGTGGAACCATTTTGTTTTAACTTGAACCAAAAAACACCCTTTCGGGTTTTAGAAGTTTAAGTATATACTTCAGTATATTTCATCACAGTGCATCCAGAATCCAAAATTTTCAGGGGCCTTAAAGCAGGCCCCTGGCCCTGTGGCCCCACGCCGTAAGGGCTCGGAAAATAAAACAAAACATACACGACGGAATTTACTAAATGTAAGAAAGCAGCCTAGAAACAATATTATTCACATGCGATGTCATGCATAATGATACAATTCTTTGTCCAGAATTAAATGGAACAAAGAATGGAGATAAAAATACAAGGTTTTCGACTTTTCAGTACAGTAGAAACGTTATAAGAGCAACAGTATATTCTAAACAAAAACGTGAAATAAATTGTCTTTATAATCTCAAAAAAACGTTTGCTAAAAAAGTCGCGGCGCTTCGAACGTCTAGCACAAAGTAACACTGTAAAATATCAGGAGGAGGTATTTTCTAAATTTCAGGCAGTGCAGAATCGATATTTCTCTCAATGTATCTAAAATCATGACATGTATGATATTTCCGCCACGATGGAAGCTTTGACCCGAAAGCAATAACCTCGGCCATGACAATGGTGGCAAAGTTGATAATGCTTGCCAGGATTCTTTTCATTCTATCTTTCAATAGGGGCAAATGCACTTTTCCCCTGAAGTTTTTCTGTTCAGTTTAAAGTTTAATTGACGTTGCTAGTACTCGAGATTAACAAAGAGCAAGGTTAACCGTGACGCATCCCCAGGCTAAAAGGAGTGGGACGTTTTTTTATTGAAACTAGTCATGCTTTACGCCAATTCCAGTGTAGTTTCGTTTTAATAAAAAAGCTATTCATGCATTACCTCTGCAAGTTGTTTTTCTCATAAATTCTCAGTATACCGATAAATCCTTGCCTAACCCCAAACTTGCTATCTACCGAGCATAAACATAAAGATGTATTTGGTCTTTTAGTGTTTTATATTTGCCATTCTCTGTGTAACAAACAAAGAAAACTGCAAATATATCGAGAGCTACATCGTTTGGTGAGACAGAACTAAAGCGGCCCCTGGCCCTGTGGCCCCACGCCGTAATAAAACAAAACATACACGAAGGAATTTACTAAATGTAAGAAAGCAGCCTTGCAACAATAATATTTACATGCGATGTCTTGCATAATGATACAATTCTTTTTCCAGAATGAAATGGAACCACTTTCTCCACTTTCAGTACAGTTAAACGTTATTAGAGCAACTTGTACATTCTAAACAAAATAATGAAATAAATTGTCTTCATAATCTCAAAAAACTTTTGCTAAAAAAAGTCTAATGAAAGTGGCCAGGAATCGCCCCCAGATTGCACCACACAGCATCTATATTTCAAATTAAGCCACGATGTAAGGGCTTTGCGCTCCGCTTTCGCATTAATTTTATCCGCCCTTTATTCCAGCACCCCATGGCAAAAGTTTGTTCCAGCGGCAGTGGCGGTGCTTATTAACTTGTACCGATTATTTTGGATCGGGAAGTTAAAACTATGAAACTGCATTTAATCTAATTGGAATATATTTGGACATGTGATATTTTCCCGCCTGGCTACCTTTTCAACGGCAGTCATTCGCCTCAGATCCAGGTCATACCATCCAAGATTGTAATATTTCTTGACGTTCTTGTAGTGCGCTTCGATGCGTCGAATACACTCCCGGCGCCCGTTGCCCGAACACCAGGTCCCGGGACTCAGATGGGCCTTCACAGCTTTCTTGCAAGAGATAAACTCGAACAGCTGAAAGTTGGTGACATTTTCAAATTTCTGGCAGCTTGTGGGAAGGGTACCAACATAGCGCTTGGCTACGCAATATCCCTGCAGTAATGGGTAGGGCATCTTAGTGTAGTAGCTCTCGTGGATGGTGACATGTAAATCTGGTTTATTCTCACTCGGTTTTATGTTTACACCTGGAGGTAGCTTCGCATTATAGTTCTTCAAAGTCTTCTTGAAATCCAAGTGCCAGTCGTAACGGTCGTGCTCGAAGTAGTAGGCGTAGTTCATGATGATGTTGACGGGGCTCAAGTGGGCCAGCTGGAGAAAGGCATCCTCAAAGTGAGAGACCTGCAAAAGAAATTTCATGGAGGTTAAAGTCGAATCTATTCTTAGTCTCACAAGTCCTAACCAAGCCCACCACAAGTTATTAAGTCTTAAGCAAAATTTGTCACAAGCTATCAGTCTTAATTGTATTCGAGTCACCAAACATTGAGTCCGAGTCCGAGCCACCTCTCTCAAGTCCGAGTCCCTTTTCAGATGTCTATTTTTCGTGAAATTTCATGTTGAAATTTTGATATGCAAATGTGTGCAAACGAATCTGGAAATTTCACGAAAAATAGACATCTGAAAACGGCAGCACTTTCTGATTAGCCTATAAAGAGGGTGAGTATGCTTCTAAAGCAAAAATAAACTACAAACTAAGCATAAATGTGAAAATCAAAATTTGACAAAGTTCGACATGTTTTTGTACATGGTGGAAGTGTGGCCTTTATTTACGGAGGTAGTCCAGTAAATTGGCCACATTTATGGGGCTAGATTATTTCGTGATTATTAGGTATTAATCATTGGCTTACGTTCATGTGCTTCATTATGTGATTCCTGCAGTTGGTGAAGGTGTCTCTCCAGACGAAGGTAGGAAAGTACGTCATGAAGTCAGAAACCATTGCCTTCCCGATGGCCTTCAGCGTGGAGTCGTACCAGCGTAGTTTGTGCATGCGCTTCATGTCAGTGAAAGTTAACACCCGCAATCGATGGCCGTTGAAGATGTTTTCCGGAGTCACTGGCGTCGTGAACACCGCGTCCGAATCAGTCCAGCCAATGATGGAAGCATTAACGGATAGATCCATGAAGAAACTACTCCACAGTTGACGTTGGTAGCCTTGAGGTTTCCATCCGGAGGCAGTATCAGGGAGAGGCTCGTACAGGAAGTCAAACTTCAGGCCCAGCTCTTTCTCCTTTTGTCTCAGTTTACGTGCAAACCGATGATCTCTTGCCGATTCCTTGTCAAGAATCAGGCTTATAGTTGGGCCTAGCTTGGGAGACCAAAACAACGTAGCCGAACGGATGAATATGCAGTACAGACGCTGAACCAGTTTGGGTATGGCTGCCATGCGGATTGTTAGTGTCAGGGAATAGCCGTGTGTTGCACTGAGATCGGTCTCGGGTCGTGCATCGGCGGTATGATCCGCTTGTCGCTTCGGTGACGGTATGTTCTGCTGAGGCTCATCGTACTTGGAGAAACCAGGGAGCAAGGTGAGGTAAAGTAATAATGAAATAGTGCAAAAGCAAATCAATGCCTTGACCACAGTCGGGTATCGTGCCATAGTCGAGTGTTCAACTTTTGCCTCAGTCGCTGCTTAGTATGGTGTGTACGTACCATTGATTGTGAGGGCCTACTCGACTAAATGATGACCGCATACACATACGTTCCCGACCTCGATTCTGAAACGCGCATTACTCAATCTAAGGGATTTGCATGCCGAATGTTTCTGAACGGAGTTCGTACCAACCTCGTCCCCAGGGTGTCGAGCAGTACGCGCCCACCACTACCTGCTCTCTCACCCTGGTATTGGATCATTTGCATGTGCAAGATTTTTGCACACGTATGCAAATGAGGAACAGTCTGGTGCCTGGATATGCGTTACACATTAGCGTTTGTTTTTGTATGCGGTATCTGGGGTAAAAACAGAGTCAATTCGTAGCAGCGCGAGCACGGCGTGAGTTACGAAAACACGATCTTTGAAATCAAATTGTTACGATCTTATCGAGACAACATGCAGTATCATATTTCATATTAATGTCGCGAGGTGGCAACCCCAACGATGATAAGGGTGGTCAGGTTCACCCTCATGAAGATAGAGTAAGGTGGAAAGCAAGTAGAATTGAACTGGAACACTCAGACGGTTGTTTACACTGATTCACTTGATTAAGTTTTAATTTAATTCACTTTCTCCAATTATACAAAATAATCCAAATGAAGATCCGAATAAAGATTCCAATAAGACGACAATGAAGACCATAAAAGAAGACCCTGTTGACCATGAATAAAATGAATTGATCTTAAACTTTTGTAAGTCTTGTTCCAAAGTCATTGGATTACATTAATATTATAAACAACAGTTATTTTAATTACACAGCATAAACTATAAGTAATATGGTTGTTTTGTAGACAGTGTCATGATCACTCCAAAATAATACTAAATAGGATGACTACTTAATCAAGCATACAAAGAGAATTACAGTCTTACCCTGATATAAAATAGAGAAGGCCTGTAATGCACTTGAGATGTCAACCTTCAAAGCTTGTGACAGCAATGTCTCAGCTATAAATTAAAATACATAAAAATACAAATAGCATACACGGGGAACATATTTAAGGAAATAGCTTCTATCATAAAAGGTCCCCTGCACCAATAAACAATGCGACATACACGAACAACATTTCGAAATAAAGCGAGTAGGTCTAATTCCACAGTGTGGTCGAGATTCAACGTTGTGCTGTGCATACGCACACCACGTACTGAATGTACACAATGCTGAACTCAATGTCGCCATTATATAATGCATTGTGCGTGAATGTGTACGAAAACGGTCATTCAACTCTAGAAAAGTTTTGACACTTCCACACGAAACTAACACCCTAAAAACTATAAGAATCAATCAGTTTGACAATAATCATATCAACCAACCTCTTCTATGTCCCTTACCTGATCTACTCAATACTTAATTAGAATCCAACTTACCCCCAAAATGAGGGAAAAGTGGGCGACTTTTAGACAAAGGTTGGCTCGGTCTGAGCTTCTTTCACGGCCCGCTCGCAAGAGGACAAACCATGTGAGCGGTAGCGCTCTTACCGTAATGCAATGACCACAACCCCTCGTCGCGCATAAAATTGACTCAGAAGGAGTGTTGACTTTGATTACTGACAATGATGATGACATACTGTTACCAAATAATCATTCTCAAGATAGAATTATCAAATGACCTAAATGTCGACGAACATATGTCCAAACTTGTTAACTTGGGCAATTAGGCTGGCGGGGTAAGTACACTAAAAGGAACAGCCAGAAAATAACATTGCATTATTCATGCTCCTTATGAATTATTCATTATTTTAAACCCAAAAACCCATATCGTTACATTAATATGAGCAAATTAGAAAGGAAATTAGTACTTTCGAGAAGGCGTGGACGAATGATCTCGAAAACACGTACTGCACGTTGTGAATATAATAGCACCAAGTACACGATAAAAATCCATTACTAGCCAATTGCGGTATCCAATCAGGATACAGGAAGAAAGTTTCCTATCCAGGGTTTACTATTGGAAACCGTGTTGGAAATAAAGTAAGCACTGGGGACGAGGTTGAGTTCGTTCCGTTCGCGTAATTTTTTTCCTAGGAGGGTTAGGGGCAATGTCATGAATAATTCAGTTTTTCCTTTGAATCATTGCAAGACTTAGGTTCTCGTTCTGTTTTCCCCTTAATTTAAAATTATCTCAGTGATAAATTTGGAGAAGAAAAATAGCTGATGAAAATGAGCAGCGACGACGTGGATTCGAACCAGGGATCTTTGTATCCATAGTTCATCTCGCTATCCACTAGGCTACTGTGTGGTAGCTCGACGACAACCGTTCTTTAAAATGCTTTGATGTATTGTAACTAGTTGAGTAACTAACAACAATACTGTTGATGACATTGTCCGTTCTCATGGATAAACATGAATTATTCATGACATTGCCCCTAACCCTCCTAGGAATAAAAATTACGCGTACCGTTCAGTACTTATTATAATTTGCCCCCGGTTTTTTTTTAACCCTTTGTAGACCATCTGTGTAGACGAGTCTTTCAAATAAGAACCCGAGCCAATGTTGGCATTGCTATTATCAGCCATTGCATCTCAGACATTGATGAGATAGTCTTAATAATCCCCCACACAAAAGATAGCATTGGTGACCCGTCGTGTTCTGGCCACTCCGAAATTCCTCAAGTTGGTGAGTTTTTTTCCCGCATGATGGTACTTATAGTCGTGTTCCCTAACGTGGCGCACTTCGAAGCTTACCCAACTTTCCTCGTGTAGTGTTGCCAAACCTCTTTGTTGATAAACCTCAAATTCATGCAGTGAAATGCTGGTACTTTTACCTTTTTAATGCTTGCTATTTAACCTCTGTGAACAATTTCGGTTTCATAAAATTTAATCCGAAATGCAAAAACGGTCGCGTCCGGAAATTGGGCAAAAATTGGCGGAGGTTCCCTAACGTGGCGCACTTGAATAAATCTCAGAAAATTCCAAATTAACATTTAAGAATTTCTGTAAACTTGATAAATTCTGATAAATCATTACTATCTTTACTTACAAACCCAGCCAGATGTTTGTCAGAAAATTATTTTCTTATTTTTCGGGGCATTTTCAAAGGGTTCACTTTGCACTTGAAAATAAAATCGGAAAATCACGCCAAAATAATTTTTTCTTTTAACTTTGTAACGGGTAAATAAACTCGCGATTTATGAACGGGAGTGTTTAGAACTTGATGAAATTTCACTTTCATTTTATTTTCAGTTAAAACTTTTGCTCTAGCTAGGCGCTACAGGCGAAAAATAAAAGTGCGCCACGTTAGGGGCCGCGCCACGTTAGGGTACATCAACAATACTCGCTTTAGTTTATGTACATGTATTATAATTTGAATTATTTCGCATCCACCGGAAGAGGGAGCTATTGCCGACGAACCACTGTGGCTATATCGAGCACCAGGCATTCCAGGCTGATCAAATTGCCCACCACGTGCCAAACGCAGGCCTGCAAAATCCTGAGATTTCGGAAGTGGACTACTGAAAACCCGACCCCCCCCCCCCCCCCCAAACAACAACGACGACGACGACAACCACAACACTACTAAACAAACTAAACCCCAAAAGGCACAAGAGTAAAATTCCGTGACCTGGGAGTGGGAGATCATACCATTTATCTCCGAATATTCTCAAAGCGAATCCTGATAGCAATGAGTCTTGAGTGGGCTCAAGCACTGTCTAAATGTGCCTGCCCAACTATGATGTTGGAAGATACATGGGTGTTGGTGATGCCGAAAAAGATCATGATGGATAGCTTGTTTTGCTGTTTTTTCTTTACCTTTCATTGCGTTTACACTGTTTTACACAAACTGTCGCAAGAAGGTTTTTACATACATTTTTAATACAATGAAACTCAGTGTTGCATGACCAGAATTATTCATCACAGGTATCAATGGAAAGCTATACTTCCTATCATTTATGATGAAGCCATATTTACATGTATACAGTTCGCAGTTTATTCACATTATAGTTTATGGGTCACCTTTTTGGAGGGACACCCTATAGTATACAAATAATTATTGACTGCTTCGAGTGGTGAGTAAAACTAGCCTCCCGAGGTGATCCATGAAGCATTCTACATGTATTTTTCCCGAGGCGAAGCCGAGGAAAAATAAAATGCTACATGGATCACCGAGGTAGGCTAGTTTTACACCACAAGATAAAACAGTCACCATCAATATTTGTTTTATAACACCTCGCCGACAGATTATGCTTGATTTTAAGCGATAACTGATTAATGTAATCTAAATACAATTAAAATGTACATGTACTTCAATTTGAATACGAAATTAGTTGAACATTTACTTGCACTTTTCTGAACTACCCCTTCACGAAATGTTTGAACCCAATTCTGTAGCGACTAGCGAAGCGCTTTTTACACGCACACCCGTATGCATAGTACTTTTGGCCGTGCACAGCAAAAAGTAAAAATAGCAAATGCCACGTGACTTGCTCTCGGCCAATCAAGATAAGGAAGCTGTGGATGAGGTGTTATAATATAGGTTACCAGATGTTTCGCATGGTTACGTTTTTGTTACGCGTTTTCATGGCTTAGAGATTCTCTACACTTTGCAGCTATCCGCTCCGTTCACAAGTACCCCCTCACCGGCAATGAGATCAGTGGGGGCCCGGTGACCGATCGACGCCATCTTGCCTGACTGCATTATTTTGCCGCGTTAAATCCTAAGCTGCTGATTGGTCAATTGGCTGCCATGTTTTTTGTAATTTTACAAAAATGGGTTGCTGAAAGAAGGCGCCCGCTGAATGGTCAGATTCTGCGTCTTGTCTTGCATAATTAATGTCGGAATCTGCTCGCATGTCATAGACCAGCTTGCCTTGCCTGTTGCTAATCCACAGACTACATGGGTAGTTCTGTGTAGTTCTAGACAGGGGTTTTCTTCGGTAGTAGGCCATCAGCCTGGGGGTTTGGTCAGTATCAAATCAGGGCATAAATGATGATAGTGCGCATGCGCAAGGAATACCGCCCCTAGAGTGGCAACAAGCATTTTGATGGACATCCTGAAAAAAAAGGGTGACAACACCCAAAAAGCTGCCACCGATGCAATGCTATCACACATATTTTCCAACTCTGGAGGTGTATACCTTGCCAAAAATCGCTATGACGATTATTCCCCTCATTTGATACCGGTGGCCAACATTTTGGACCGAGGCTGATGGCCTATAGGTGGCAAAAATCGGCCGGAAAATGAGAACCAAAGAAATAACAAGGGAGGCCCTTATCAAAATGCTTACATTTTCAACGGCATCGGTATACTTGCACAAGTAAACACCCCATGGAATTATCCATCTGGCTTGCTGGCGTTTTCCCAACGATTAACTGAATTTTGGAAATTAAAGTGTTCTACAGACACACTGACAATATATTTCTTGCAGATTCTGCATACATATACATGTGCACATGTACTACGACAACTACCCCCCCCCCCCAAAAAGGACACAACCATCATCAATTCTTGCATTTCATTTTACTAAGGATCTTCGCAAATCTTGCGCATACATAATATGAGTAGACATTAGTCTCGTTGTCTATGGCAATGTAAGTACAGCTTTAATCGTTTGTGCAAACGTTTTAAAGTTTTCATGATGTTCGTGTACATGTATTAAAGATGATTACAATTAAACTGCATGCCGAGTACTTTTGCCTGACTGAATATTCGAGTACATAAGCTTAAGCTTTTTTGGTAGCTGGCAAATATTGAGCAGTAATATTAGAGACGACAAACGTTAAAAATAAAACGAATAAAAGGCAGTTTTCATTATCTACACACTGGCAAATCTACACTTTTAAAAATTCACATATTAACAAAAACTATCCAGTACAGATTATGATGGTTTTCGTTTTCTTAAAAAAAAATATGGTCATTTGCTTGATACGAAAGCCTCTTTGATTAAAGATGGCAGTGATAGTGTGATCCCTGACCTTGTACATGTACATGTATTGCAGTCATACAGGGTGATTAAAAACAAAAGCGGGAAAAAAAGCGGAACCCAAGCCCCCAAAATTATATTTCATATTTAAAAAAACATGTAGCATCAAACATAATAATGACTGGAAAGCCAATTTCATAAGCTACTTTTAGATGAAAACCATACTGAAATTGCTCAATCCGTTCGAAGAATATCACCATTTCAACACAATGACACGAAAACATCTTTCGTCCAAAAATGCGATTTCAAGAATCGCCTTCACAATCTTCCAACATCACCGGCGATAAAACCTCAGTTTAAAAGATATAGTTTTGGGGATTTGGGTTCCGCTTTTTTAACTCACCATGTATGTAAACCAGTTTTTTCCTCTCTTTAAAGAATATGAAAACTGGTAATTCAACTTTCTTTTCGGCATTAGGTGTCCTAGCATAAGCGTAAACGTTTCAGAAGGGTCCTCTCGTATTATTGAAATCGCACCTCTATTATCTTCCGTTTTGAATAAAAACTTCAATCCAGCAATTTTCATAATAATCGCACAATAGCTGTTTGAAACTGGCCTATAATCAGATATCAAAACTTCATCACTAGAGGGACAGAACCCGCCTGCACCTACAAATCTACATCTTTCAAATATTTTCTAAATTGTTAGGATGTTTTTCCTACAAAATTAGAAGCACACAACTACTAGTTAAAGGGAATATACATCATTGGCTTTTGCTGTAATTTTCAGAAATGAACTATTTGAGGGGTAAGTATAATAGATCAAATATTGTTACAATGACATGTTTGAAGTTTTGTGTTCGAAAATGCTGGAAAAACCAAGAAAAACAAAACTGTTCAAGTAGTCTGGTTCCATGACTCCACTAATTATAAAATGGATCAGTTTACAGATGCAAGAAAATTGTAAGGTAAGGGTACCAGTCTAGCTGGCCTGCACCCGTTCATGAACACGTAACCAATAGCAAACAAAATTTGGACTGAATAAATGGTAAATTTGGGGCAGTAGTTGAAAAATAGTTAGGTTTTTCCAATGGTGGTCGGCCGACCACCGTTGGAAATTTTTTACAAAAATACCATTTTCTTGAAAATGACTTCACACCAGGTGCCATAATTTTACAGGATGCTTTAGACTGTCATTTACCAACATCCTATTGGTCATTTACCAACATCAAGGTATTTCGTAAAAACTTGGTAGTTTTATTTTTCGATGTTTGCAAATGTTGTATTATCCCTTTAATCATTTATTTATATAAAGAACTTTTCGTCAAAATAAATGAATGTTGACAATTCCAAAATAACGGAGTACATTGTACAGTGATCAGTACCAGTGAGGCCGAATAAAAAAAAAATAAGAAGGCTTTTTTGAAAAAATAAAGGACGTGTGAGTTTTTCCCCCAAGATGGCTTATTTTTCAAGATGGCGGATGGATTCTTCAATTTTCTCAACTGATACAAAATTGTGTCCAAAAGAAGCCAAAACCCTTTTTACATAGCTGCAATTTTGTTGGAAACAAATAAAAAGACAACATATTGACAATGTATGAAAAAAAAGATTGCAAATGTATGAATAAAAACAAAAAAGGAGTCAGCCGGAGAAAAAGGGAGCCGGGGGGGGGGGGGGGGGGCAAGAAATTGGTTATTTTTTTTTCAATTGGCCTTTTACATGTATAGTAAAAAAGTCAGTTTTTTTTTAAAAGTCAGTTTCCCTTTGTGATTCATTTTTACCGTTCTTATTTTTTTTCTAACAGGCCTGGATTTTGTTTTGACCATCAGCAACATAATTTGGTTCTTGCTTCCTACTTAAATTCCTATTCTATACAGTTGGCACACTTATCGACGGATTAAAAGGTAGCACCATTATCACGAGTTGCATAGAAATGTAGAAAAGTCTTGACTCAGCGTCCCTCTAAGTCCGTCTTCGTCTAGTACAGGATCTCCTCTGAAATGAAATTACAACCAAATCAGAAAATTAACATCTTTTCATTAGGGAATTACCATCCATTTATTAGGGAATGCAGGGAGGGCCTACATGTAATATTTGTGTACTTATGTTATAATTTTAACTCTGTGGTGTGTGACCGTACATGTACATGCACTGGCATTGTCAGTACATTTTCAAATAATTTTGAATTACTCTGTCATGTTGTCTTCATACTTCGCAAGTTTCCTCTTAAGACAAAACTTCAAAAGCATCGTCAGTGTCCCTTCAACCCTGGTTGAAATTTTGACCCAGAATTTCTGAGGCAAAGATCAGACCCAGGCCAACTCCAATAGGATTTGTTATGTCACATGTAGTACATTAATTGTATTGTATTGTGAGTGTACAACATTAAAGTAGCTGCTGTTATCACAAGGCCATCAATCATCCTGTCACTCACTAGGCCAAGTCTTGATATGAAGCTGGGGAAACTAGTGGTTTCTCATCCTTTTTAGCTAAATATATGTAGCCTCAGACTGTTGTGGAGGGGGGGGGGGGGGACGATGGCCAGGCCAAAAAACAAGGAGATAAATCTCTAACTTTTCTCGTACGGGTACTGGCTACTGGGGAGAGAAAAGGGTCTCTATCCATCTGCATGTGTTTTGAGACTATGAGAAGGGATTATGTTCTTGACAACACCTACTGAAGGGATTGTGTTAGAGACCGTTACACCCATGCACCATCATACTGAAAAGTTCAGTACATGTACCATGGTGGATTACAGCAAAAATGAAACGATTGCTCTTCGCAGGGTTAAATTCTGCATGTTATACATGCATTGCATTTTTTCAATATTAATCTTCAATATTAAACATGATTTGTATGTAAACAAAGTGAGATGATGAAAATTAACTACAATTTTGGTGACTTCATCATTTATAATTTATCATGAGCAGGCTGTTCAATTAATGCAATAGCATAAAGCATATTATACATCAGTGAAGGCCGAAACTCTAATCTAAGATTCACGCGCTATATTCTTGCTGTTATGTGTGCACACATAAAAGGATATCCGCCAAAAGGCGACCACGGCATACGAGTTCCATCGTAACTGTGCTCAAGTTAGCTTGAAGATAAATTCATTATCCCACAAGCATGCGAGTGGAACGCAGGAAATAAAGTATAACTGTGTCCCATTTGCCACTCGGCATTAATTCTGCCTTGTATCGTAGGGGCACTGACGCACCAAATTATTTTGTGGTCTGTGCTCTTGGGATAATCATATTCGCAGATGCACATTCAAGTGTGAATGAACTACCAGCTAATTCCATGTGTACACTCTGAGTAAAATGAAGCAATCAACAAAAATAGCATACAAACTGAGACACTGCAGTTCATAAAAATTTTGTTTAACTTACACATTAAAACTAACTGAATATACATGTAGTGTATAGATCAGTGTTGTTTTTGAGTCATGCAAGTCCCTCACAAGTCCTTCATCAGTCTCAAGTCAAGTCACTAGCTATGCAAATGAGCTGTTGCAAAAGCATTCCCGGTTTTATGAAAGGACTTGTGACTGTACTTAAGGAATTGTGAAAGGAATGGGAGACTTTTGAGACGTTGGTGGAAGCAAACATACTGGTCCTTTTCAATTGTTAACGCCATGTTTAAGCGAAAGCGCGCATGCTCAACATGACGCAAACAATGGAAAAAGGGCCAAAGTGTTTGCTGCCACCTGTCTCAAAAGTCTTCCATTGTGATGGACTCGAACACAATACTGGTATAGATCAGTGTTGTAGTCGAGTACTTTTTTCCGAGTACCGAGTACTGCCGAGTACTTAGGTTGCCGAGTATGAGTACGAGAACTTGTACCTCCGAGTACAAGAACGTGTCTCCGAGTACGAGTACTTGTACTTCCGAGTACCAGTGCGAATACAAGTACTTGTACTTCCGAGTACATGTACAACCAGGAATCAGGCACTTTTGGGAGGTCTTTTTTAAGTTCAATGATTTTTTTTCTGAGTGATACCATTTAAGACAGAAGGGGTTCACACAGTGTTACACATATAATGAATGTTTATGAGTGCAATGGTAAGAATAATTGCATGAGGTCACTGAATTAAATTATTCTTTCCATTGCACGAATGTGAAACATTCATGATTTGTTTTACACAACACCTGAATAAATCCTCGTCAGCTGATTGGGGCCATTGGTTGGGATGAATAATTCAATGACATGTCGGTGCTATTTGGGGGGGTCAGACAAGTCGACCGTTGAGACAACTCGACTCGGGACAAGTCGAGTATTAAAAAATTTGAAATAGAGATGCTCTGTGGTGCATTTTAAAGCCTCCTGGCATGCCTGGGCCAACTATTTGTGGAAAATGTTTTGCAATTTATGCATGTTTTTAAGTTAACTTTTCCTTCATATTGGCTTGAAACTGCCTAAATGGCCAACTTGTATATGAAAACTGGGAAATTCGACCACGTTTTCCATATTTTAACTCCTTACTGCAGATGATACACATCGTCATCGCGTGTCCCGGCTTCTGATCGAGTCGCCTAATTTCAGCCCATTAACCATGTGTTCCATCCAAATCCATTTCCACGGATTCGTAACCTGAGGATCGGTCTTGTCAATGTCCATATCAAACTCCGAACCTCTTTGGATAATAACACACTTGTGTTGCACTGACATCTTGCGGAATTAATAATGTCAAAATACGTTCGAAACATTTGAAACGACACACTAACATGACTAACGTACGTATCACCATGCAGCGGAATACATGCAGCAGGATGCGTGCATGCAATGAAATGCACACATGAACTTTGCCCCGCATGATGCCCTCTACCGGCGCGGCACGGCGACAATTTACTAGTCTTATTTCAAGGCTTTATATTTGCAACTAGACGATGTTTACAGCGAGTTATTGTGGAGATCATCGCGTGTCACTACATGCATAGACACAGGAACGGCCGCAAAGAGTCCCAACGCGCTTCATGGCGCATGTGTGAATATTCATATTTATCTGCAGCCAATCACAGCGCAATGACTGTTGGTTCCCCGGATGCTCTTTACACACACGCGGCTTTGAGCTGAAAAATGCATGCACATGGCATCGTATAGTACACACGTACGTACATGTACATGTATGTACAATGTACATTGAATACTCGCTTGCGATTGCACGCACCTCAGAGCTACGTGTACATGTATGTTGTAGAGAGCGGATCGCGTGCGTTCGGCGGTGGCGGAAAATAAAATAAACGGAAATAAAATCAATGCTTACGCGCGGGGGAAAAAGCGGGGGGAAATCTGGACCATCGGAAGAAAAAAAGCGGAAAACAAAATGTGGCACGCTGAACAAAAAAGCGGAAATCGGCTAAATAGCGGAGATTTCACACCCCTGTTTAACCCTAACCTTCCAAAATACTCCAAAATCCTCTTTGCAAAATGGAGGATTTTGCAGGATTGAGGTAACATGGTAAAAATGTGTGGCTGATTTTGAAGGATGCACTGTGCCAAGGTCTTGGGCTGGACCTTGTATTGTTTATGCTCAGCGGTGCATAAGATTAGGCCTAGATTATGCTTGAAATCCCTGCACTGCTCCAGGATGACACTGGCTCTGCCTCAACATATTGACAGTGATTGCTGGAGGATTTTACAGGATTGAGGCAGTGGTCACCCCTCCAAGGACCACATTCAAGAAATAACAGAGGATTTTGGAGGATTGTGGCTGTATGCAGTTCTTACATACACGCAATTGGAGGATTTTGCAGGATTGAGGTTGCATCCTAGTAAAAATGCCTAGAGAGTTTAAGGTTAATGCAGGACCTACCCTCATTCAGTCCCATGCAGGTACCCCACTCAACGATAGAGATCAAGTCATCGTCATTGGTATCGCAGCTTGCGATGAATGCATCAGTGCAAGGTTCCATGGGAAGAAGCTGGGCACGCATTGGCATCAACTCGGACTCACTTAGGTGACTGCGGAAAAACAACGAGCAATCGTCACAATCAACGATTCAATAGGAAGCAAACGTCATGTGGAGATACTCATTACTGCAACAATTTGTAACTCGTTATTGCAAAAAGTTATTGTAACTACTTAATGCAACTACCAGTTATTTTTTACTGGTTAAATATAAACTTCAATGATGACCTACTTCAATGAATAATCCATTATAATTACCATCTCGAAAGGAATGATACATCATGTGGAGATAAGTAACTAATAAATGTAATTTAGTGGTTATTTTTTAACCAGTTCAAATTTATGCTATTAGTTTTGCAACACAATTTGGGAATGTTTACAGTTGCATACCCTGTGCTTTTAAGAAAATTGGATCTAGTTTATCCAAACAAATTTTCAATTTTCATGTTTTGTTTTAAGGAAAAACTGCTACCGATCTTGGGTGTCCTTGAACCTTTGAGAATAGTCTGGTTCCCTGACCCCATTGTCCTTTGGACTTCAAAAATGGGGTCCGTTAACTAGCGGTGAATCTTCAATGCATAACACGGAGATCTGTTTAATGTATGCAAATTATATGCATGACATCAATAGGTCTGCATCCCGCCTCCTGCATTCAAGATCACAACAGCAATGTTTGCCCGCAACCAGCCTATTGCAAAATGGCAATAGTCTACTTTGAGAAAGAGCTTTCATGTTGTTTACAAATGAACCAGCCTTGCAAGAGCAGAATTATTGGCAGCCAATGAATGGAATTTTGTGTAGAAATATTTAATATTAACTACACGTTGGATTTTTTGGTTCGATGAATCATTCAAAAGTGAATAACTTTTATATTGGTAGGAAAATAGCAATTGTGTACACACTGATCTCAAACATTCATATGACAAACTCACGTACATGGGCGTCGCCAGGATTTTTTCTAGAGGGGGCAAACAAATTTTTTGCCAAAACTGCTTGCAGTTCTCAACATATTCTCGATTTATCAGTTTTAGAGGGGGGCAGAGACATTTTGCCCCCCCCAAACTCATTAAATTTACACCACTTTGTCTTCGCGCCTCTTTTTCTTTTCTTTTTTCCCTTTTTCTTCTTCTTCTTCTTCTTCTTTTTTTTTTTTTGCTTTTGCCCCCTCCTTGCTACGCCCATGCTCACGTATATTGGAATATCTAATGAAAGTCTTATATGACACCATCAACTTTTTAGGCTTTACACTCTAAACTGCATTACACACCACGAAAAAAAAATAAATTATGAACTAAGAAACCACGAAAATAACTGCAAAGTTTTGCTGTCACTTACAAATCGTTGGGCGCAATGTCCATGTTGAAAAACTTCCAGTGCAGTGGGCGTCGCCATGGCTTAGTCTCTGCTTCAGCCAGTTTCTCAAACTCGCGTTCTTCTTCGTCCAAGCCTCCTTGCTCCTCTGTCAGACCAGACAGCTCCTTCATGACTTCCAAAAACCAGGTACGCATGCGCTGAGGGAAAGTAGCTAGATCAGCTGGGTTGCACTGTTCCATAACTGCGGCAAGATTAGAAAATATCACCACTGTTAAAACAAGTATTATGCAGAGTCAGTGGTGGATCCAGGTTTTGATAAAAAGGGGGTGGGGGAAGGGGAGGGGGGTTGAACTCCAGGTTCTTTTAAAGAGCAGGGTGGTTGTAGTCACACCATATACAGGCTTAATTATGGGCAATGAATCAAGATTTTGGATTAAAGGGAAACAACATTTTAGGTTTTCTCCATTTACAGACAAGAGTAGACTTGTATGACTTGTGACTTGGACTCGAGTCCCATTTTCCGCGACTCGGACTTGAGTCATGATGACAAATGACTGGAACTTGACCCTGAGGACTCGACCTGCATGACTCGGGACTTGACAAAAAAAATCCCAAAATCGCTTATTTTTTCCCAACAGTATAATAATAAATTATTTGAACACGATTGTCTTCTGAGCAAGTAATACACTCTGTGCAATATGCAGAAAAACGCAGCTAACAACTGTGCATACACAGTGCGTGCGGCTGGCTTGTTTTGGGAAATCAATGTATCAAAACATGTACCCTGCTTCGACACTTGATATGGTGTACATGCAAGCTTGATAGTGTTTGGTACCAGATTATCTTTTCCAGACACTGGTTCCTTGCCTTATTACATACCTCTGCCAAGGAGGTTGTGATCGGCATTAGTTTGTTGGATAGTTGGTTTGTTTGACTGTGAACAGGATCACTCCAAAAAGTTATGGACGGATTTTCATGAAATATTTTTTATGGGTGGTCCTTGGTACAAGAACAATGTAGCAATTGATTTGATTATTTTTTGCAGTGATCCGGATCTGGTCTGGATGCAGGTTTGAGGTTTAGCAGTATACCTGAACATTTACTTCCAATGTACAGGACGAGTAGAAAATAAAACGCATCGCAAATGGCAGGACCAATTTTTGAATGAAGTAGGCCTACCGTTAGCACTTTCAAAATCCAGGATATGAAAACCCAGTCCTTAACCCCAACCCCATCCTGAATCTGCCAAAATCCACCAATTTTGTTATCCAAAAAAATGTTGGTGTCCTGAGTCCATCAGAATCCACCAGTGAATCCATTAAAATCCACCAGTGTAGTACATATACCTCGTACACACCAAACATATACATGTAGCTAACTGTTGAGATCCTGAATCCATCAAAGTCCCCCTACTGCTCAATATGGACACACATGATGAAGGTATCCTGAATCCATCAAAATCCTGCAGTACTGTTAGGCTTACTGTCCTGAATCCATCAAAATCCCCAAACTTTTTCAATATGAAGGTATCCTGAATCCGCCGAAATCCACCAAAACAGGGGTGTGGATTTTGATGGATTCAGGTATGTTAGGGTTAAGCCTTCTGTTTAGTACAAGAATCATTCAGATCACTCAAATACTTTCAAGTTGCAGCATTTTGAACACAAACACTGTTATAAAAGTTCTATCCATGGATCACAAAAAAGTAAGTGTTCTTTCAACAAAATGAAAACAATTCACATAGGGATGTATGAGAATTGTTTTCATTTTGCTGAAAGTTTTTTTTTTAATCATACACCCTGTATAAATTATTTGTGAAGGTGACTCGTGACTCAGACTCAGGAGACGTGACGAGTACGAGTACGGGCAACTGTTTTCTTGTGAGAACGAGTTCGGAAAAAAGTACTGGAGTACGCGTACTACTTTGTACCCCCATGTTGGTGTTATTAAAGGGAAAATACAACATTTGCAAACATCAAAAAATAAAACTACCAAATTATTTTGAAATACCTTGCTGGACTGTTAGTGAATGACAGTGTAAAGCATCCTGTAAAATCATGGCACCTGGTATACTGTCATTTTCAAGATAGTGGTATTTCTGTAACAATTTCCAACGCTGATCGGCCGACCAGCGTTGGAAAAAACTGGCTTTTTTTCAAATACTGGCCCCAGTTGACCATCGCACTTGTTTGCAATCGATTACACACCTATGAACGGGTACAAGCCAGCTAGACTGGTTCCCTGACCTTACAATTCCCCAATGTATGTAAACTGCTCTGTTTCTTCTTAAATGGAGTCAGGGAACCAGACTACAGGAAAATGATTGTTTTTCTGGGTTTTTATAGCATTACAGCAGTGTAACTATATTTGCTATATATTTCCAACCCCCCAATTCCATCCATTTCTGAAAATTACAGCAAAAGCAAATGATGTATATTCCCTTTGAAGTGCCCCCTTCAAATATTGTAATTGAAAACATATACAGAGGGTTTCTTACTTTTACAGGGGCCAAAATAGTCCAAGTGTTCAGCATCCATCTCCCGAGGATTGACACACCGGAGCCTGTACAGCTCACACTGACTGCGGTAAGTCACATTGCCAGTGCTGCAGACTTGAATGAATGGGTCGCCGTCTTCTTCAATGCAGAACTCGACGCAGTCGCAGTACGGCGCACCATCCCTGTCAATGTAGCAGGTTTCACCAGGCGGGCACGGCAAGGTGTTGCACTTGTCTGTGGAGGTTAGGAGGAAATACATGAAATATGTAATATTCTTAAGAAAACAGCAAGATGTGAACTGGGTGTTATGCATGAAATTTGTTCGGAGGAAAAAAGAAAAGAAACTTGTTAAGAGAACGGGAGAGAGTACCGGTACATATAAGGCCCCCCCCAAAAAGTCTCCGGTTTCTGGTATGCGCGCGTGTCGCCGTAGCCATGCGCGTCGTTTTTTTTCAATAAAAGATGATGTCTCAAAACTGCCAAACTCACTGGTTTGACTGGAATCCTGCTGCTGCAAAATTTTAACGTGTTTTTAGATGGGGTTATGATCGAGAATAAGCTTTATATGGCCTTTCTGGACTCCCATATATTTGCACTAAGTTTAGTCGGGCACCATTTGCAGTCATCAGCATACATTTGAAGCAAAAAAAACAGGTAAAAAAAAAAAAAAAAAAGCCGCGTCGCCGCACCACTTTTTGGGCAAGTTCCATACCAGAAAATGGAGACTTTTTTTTTGTGGCCTAAATAACCTACAATAGATCTATTTTTTGGGAGGACAATTTTTTTTGGGGAGGGGGTACGTGTCATTATGTGCCATCTTTGCAAATTGTAGTGTTTATTTTAACAAAAAATATTTTTATTTAGACTGTCTGAAACCGTCTGGAGATGGCTTTTATTTCATTTAAAAAGATCTGCATGAAATGTCAGGCCATTTTAAAGTTATTGTCCAGTAACTTTCGACTGATCCCGTTAGCTTGGTGGTCGAGTGGTAGGACATCTGCACTAGAAAGCAGGAGGTCGTGGGTTTGAGTCTCACCCGAGTGATTTTTTCCCAACTTTCACCCGGGAGGTAACACACTGAGTATACAGTGTTTATACGTCGGTGAAGGGCAAAACCTAATTTGATTTACATCACCCTGATGCAAAATTCCATCTTATGAACTTTCATTCAGTTATTTTTTTATCCAAAGCAAAGAACTTTAAATTGCTAAAAAATAGTGATTTATCAAAAACGAATCTATTGCTTTATGTGGAAAATAGCACAGGAGATTAAATTTAAGACTAGATCTTTGCCTATAACCCTAACTTCCTAGGCATTTTTGTCAGGATGCAACCTCAATCCTGCAAAATCATCCAACTGCCTCCATGTAAAAATTGCACAGCCGCAACCCTGCAAAAGCCTCCGTTATTTCTTTAATGTGGTCCTTGAAGAGGTGACCACTGCCTCAATCCAACACAATCCACCAGCAATCACTGTCAATGTAATGAGGCAGAGCCAGTGACATCCTGGAGCAGTGCAGAGGATTTCAAGTTTAGGCCTATAGGCTTAAATTTATGCACAGCTGATCATAAACAACACAAGGTTCGTCCCAAGACCTTAACACAGCGCGTCCTCCGAAATCAACCACACATTTTTGCCATAGCCTCAATGCTGCAAAATCCTCCATTTTGCAAAGAGGATTTGGGAAGGTTAGGGTTATATTGATGGCAATGGTGGAGGCTTGTACAGTATAAGAGCCATGTTGCAATCACAAGTTCATCACAGGAGTCTCATCACAATAGGGCTAGTGAACTTTTTTTTAAATGGTTGTATTTGTTTAAGAGATTGCTTTCATTGTAAAGCCCACCCAAAAAGAAAACAAATGATGGTAAAATTGCAAAAATTGACCCATGCAATCCAAAGTTATGGCCAAATATGTGTCGATCAAATGACGTTATTTTGTATAGGAAATGTGTACGAAAATGGTGTATTTTTGTGAAATTGAATAAAAAGGCATATTTGAACATCTGTTGTGGTGTAAATAAACACTTTGGTAAACTTTAACTTGTTTTTGTCCATTGTTTATCACAAATACTATTGGTTTCAGTTGGTTTTGAGTTGATAAAAAACTTGATATGCAATAAAATGAATGTTAAAAATGTACTTTTACACTAAAAATCATGAACGGCAAGGTTGAAAAATGACTAAGTCCTACCCAAAAGGCACTAAAAGTAACAAAACTTCCATTCACTAGAACATATTTTCACCAAATTTGGATGACACAAGGATTGTGTGTAGATACAGCATGTGGACCCAAAATAGACTACAAAAAAATCTAAAATCAAAAAAAAAACCCTACTTTTTTTGCTAATTTTTGGCCAAAATGGAGAAATTTCAGTCTGGCATGCGTAAACGTGTAGCCTAAACTGGCCCAAGCCGAAGTCCAATTCTCAATGCCCAAAATCCCCAAATTTGACAAAAATTTAAACAAAGATATAAAACTTGGGTATCCCATTTAGGTTATAAAACGAAGTTTCTCTCATATTTGGGTTATTTTATCCCATTTTGGTGCAAATCTCATAAGCCTAGTAATTTAGTAAAAAAGTATGCGCTGTGCGTAATGATTTTCCTGCGTAATTCCAATGGCCTAACGTTACATCAGTGCCCATCACATTTGTACACAAAAATCGTACATGCTATAGCCACCCAACAAACTGTAAAAACATCAGATTTCACTCTCAAAAACGGCCACAAAGTTATTAGATATGCTACCTGAGATACAAGGAGAGATCGATTATTAAGATCGAGGAACTACGATGTGGGCAAAAAGTGAAATGATCGCCGGTACTGCGGTAGCAAAAACACTCCGAGTTCCATTTCGTTTACACCACGTGCGATGGAGTCTGGACGGTTTCCGAAAACGAAGAACTTACACTGGTATCCACTGACATATTCTGACCGTACGGGCCATGAAGGGAACCAGTGTAGAATATGCATTACGCGACGCATCACGTGACAATGTTTTGGCTGCACTCGATCTCAAAGGTGATAATTTTCTGTTGCGTTTACATTATCGCGTGCCGGGAACGAAACAGTGATGCTCACACGACGCGCGCTGTCAAACAGAAGGCGCCATGATGAAAATACATCGCGACACAAATGTGTCTATAACTCTAAAATACAATAATATTTTGAAGGTTTTAAAAAAAGCATTTCAAGCTTCGATATCACTAATTACAATTTTCAAGGTTCCATTATTATTTTCAATGTATTTCGTGATGAAAAAGTTTTGGGAAAAACAAAAAGAATCGTAACTTTGCAACGCGTAGGCCGATTATCATGGAACGTGGATGGTTGAATGGCATTTTCAATAAGCTTTCGACTGACGTATGGTTTCTTGACGTCTGCTATGCTACACTACTGTCAAGACCGAGTTAAACACAGTCACCAGGGCAGACAATTCTTGCCGTGGATCTTGAACGCATGGACCGGTCTGTGCGCGCCGCATGGCCCGTGAACGTAACATGTCATGCGCGCAGCATTTTTCGTACTCGGAGTTAAAATGAGACTTTTCAAACAGCAAAAACAAGTGTAATTTCGACTCAAATCACAATCACAATGGGAAAATATGTAAGTTTATTACATCATTGAACTATCATCATAAATTACGAGGAATATTTCAAAATTTTAACTTATAAATGGGGAATGAAAACATCCGGCTTTTTGAAACAAAATCACCGGGCGTGTGTATGTTGCGCGCATTCGTTTTGTACACAAGTGATCACCGGCAGCAAACAGCGAGTGCGCGAGCCCTAATCACAAGTCGAGTCACAAGTAATAATAATAATAATAATAATTTGGGAGGCTAATCATCCTTACTCGCAGCTGGTATGCTGAATTGCGAAGGACGCGGCTACAACGTGGTCGGGCCGCTGGCACGTAAAGGCGCCTATGGCTGCCGGCCACATCGACCCATATATGACCACGGAGCACAGCCTGAGATCGAAAGTGTTTGATTTTTCCGGAGGGAGGAAAACCGGAGGGCCCGGAGAAAAACCCTCGTGGCACAGGAGAGAACCAACGCACAACTCTACTCACATGCAATCCGTGGCCAGGATTCGAACCGTGGTCACCTTGGTGAGAGGCGAGCGCTTTACGCACAAGCCACCCATGCCATAAAGTAACAGGGGACTGAACGATGATAAAGGAATTTCTTTGTTGCAGCTCATTTGAATAGCCGGTGAGGATGTAGGTCTCGAGACCGGTCTTGAGACCACTTTTTGCTGATCTCAGTCTCGGTTTTACTAAATACAACATGTACATGTACCGGTACCCTGTGGTCTCGGTCTGAGTCTCCATACCCTGTGGTCTAGACATTTTTGACGGTCTCGAGTCGAGACCTGCAATATGCACGGTTTATCGCTCATAATTTCAATCACATTGCATTTGTTGTTTTAGTTCAGTATCGTTGGTTATCATGACCAACTTTTTTTAAATTGTTCATCTCGTTTTCGACCTAGTTATAAATTACTGCAGTGTGACAGACCTGTATATTTTGTTCGCTTACCTAATTTGCTTTTTGCTATATTCTGACGTCAATAAAAAATTAAATGTCCAAGTAAATGTCTACATGCAATGAACTGTTTATTTGTTAATTTATTATTATTTTTTACATTCATTCTCTGAACTATACGCGGTCTCGATCTCGGACCATCTTGGTATCAGTCGCTCTTGAAGGTCTTGGTCTCGATCTCGGAACTCCAGGTCTCGGTCGAGGGCCCAATTTTATAGCGCTGCTTAACAACCAACTTTGTGCTTACCGAGCCTCCATCTATTTCATAGGGACTGTTCAGCAGTAAGCACAGCAAAAGCACGCTTAACCCAAGAAGAAAACTTTGCTTAAATCAGTGACGTAACAATAGAAATCTCCATGCGCGCGCAACCGTTAGCATGAAATAGTGCTTAAGCAGCAGCATGATTTTCTGCTATAGTAAGCACAACTTTTCTGCGTACTGTTAAGCAGTGCTATGAAATTGGGCCCTGGTCTTGAACTATCCGGTCTCGGATTATCCAGTCTCAACTACAACACTGATGATGTCAGACTGGAGTTTTTACTTGGACTGTTCGGCTCAGAACAGCATTACCGACAACCGATCCAGTTATCGTGGCACTCTTCTACCATGTCTACTGGTTAGCACTGACTAGTTCAAATTGATAAGGTACATTGTAAAATGGCTCCAATGTCTCTATTATCTTCTTTGACATATCCTCATTAAAATTAGCGAGATGAAACTGAACGTTCTTTACTGTCGCTGTCCGAAAAATGTTGATGCTGGGACAACTTTTTCCAGAGTCGAACATCTTGGCGTCTATGCTACAGTTCAGCTGCAGTCCTGCAGTAATCAGTCGTTGGAATCTCGACTCCTGGCTGTTACATCACAAAACTTAGGAATGGCCAAATGAAATCGACGATTGTCGCTTTCATTTTTATGTCCGCCGGACAAGAAACATCCCTAAGAATTGCCTCATTTATGAGCTGAAGCGCTCAATATAAAAAAAATGGGACCGTGTCTCTGTGATATATTTATTTATGGTTGTACTCTAGAATTTAAAAGATACTTCATATAAATATCGCTCACTGCTGAACTTCCCCTTTAACTTGTGATGACATTTGACAACTTGTGGTGACCTACGGTACACTGAACATGCTGAATGAATTACAACTCTGGATGAGAACTGGAGGATGTTTACTCCTTCTTACCAGTGACATCATTGATACTTTCTTCCGGTTCCTCCTTGTAGCCATCAATACTGTAAATCTGTTCCTCTTTGGTGTAAGACAGTGATTCCAATGCCTTCTTCGCACCTCTCATCTCATGCCTTGAGGCTTTCATTTGCTGATGCTGAAAACAAATAAACAACGATGTCATCATTATCATTTCTCGTCCTTTGGATCTTAAATTCAAGCTTTATACTTGCATTGCATTAAACCCTCCTCAGTCCTCCAAACTCATCCGGGTGCTTTGGAAGGATTTTGAAGAATTGAGGCAGTGATTTTTGAGAGTCAAAATTTTGACTCTCTAAATTAGTTCTCAACACAAAAACGCCCAGTTTTTAAAGGATGGTTGTGTGGACGTTTCTATCCTACTTTTAAATGCCCTTTCCGATTAACATCATTTCATTTGAAATGCGTTTTGTAGCCCAATTAATTGGGTGCATACCAGGGCATTATGTCCCTGGAATATTGGTATAATTTTTAAGTTATACATTTTTTTAAAGTTTTAAACATATCTTTAAGTAGGAAAGTTTAAGTTTAAGAGGTAGAAATATATTTTAAGGATTCCATAAGAAATGCTAAAGAGTTGCCGTTAGAGGCATTGAAAATTGTCAGATCAGCCACTTCCCAACATTGCACTTAGATCAAGTCTAATATAAACTTGACCTTTTGGTTTGACCCCTGCAAGCTGCCTGCTGGTAGCAAGTTTGCATTTCCCTCGTATCCCACAGTGCCCGAGACGGAATAACGTGTTGTCATGGCAACAGACATTTCTGGACTGCAACAGCCACTGCGTTGCATGAATGCGATTCTCCCATGAACTATATTTTTTTGTGATATTTTCTTTAGATTCCTTGATTCGGGCTTTTATGTTTTGTATTGTTTAGTCATAATTATGCCTTCCCAACTCCATCAAAATCCATCCAAATGTATACCAAGTCCATCAAAATCCACCTACATGTATAGTAGTAGTGGTCCTATAGTGGATTTCAGCGGATTCGGTCCTAAAGTTATGTGAAGCAGGGTCATTGATGGATTTTTGCAGACTTTTAAGACGAGCATATTTTGTCAGTCCTGACTGAAGTGTGCATATTACTATGAGGGAAAATGCTTATAATGAGCTTGGGTGATACAAGATGACGGTTAAGACGAGCACTTTTTGCGGTCTGGCAAGTGCCAGTCTACAGTTAAATAACTACATTATGCATAAATTACATTACAAATGATAAGGAAATACATTTATGTTGAATGTTTAATTCGTACAAGTTTGCCCCCAGTATTCAAAATCTTCCAGAATCGAAAAGTTTTGATCTTGAAACTGAATCAAGCCCAAGATTCACATATGTTGAGGGGGTCGGGGGGGGGGGGGGGGGCGGAGAGGAGTTTAGAACAACCCCGTAGTGATAGACCAAACTCATTTTGCTGGCCTTGCAAGTTAATAACAAAATTACTCTCAAAACTTAAACAGTTATTTGGGAATGTACAACATTTGCTTTTGCTGAAATTTTCCGACATGGATTTGGAGGATTAGTATGTGATAGAAATATTGTTAAACTGACTTGTTTCACGTTTTGGGCTCGTAGATGCTGGAAAAACCAGGAAAACCAATCATGTTCATGTAGCCTGGTTCCCTGACCCCACTTAAGATGAAACAAAGCAATTTATAGACTTTGGGGAATTGTAGGCCCTAAGGTCAGATAATCAATCTAGCAGGCTTGTACCCTTTTCACAGGTGTGTAATCAATTGCAAAGAAAATGCGAAATAACTAAAAATGAAAATTTAGAAGCAGTTTTTGAAAAAAAGCCAGTTTTCTCCAACGATGGTCGGCCCACCAGCGTTGGAAAAATACAGTTTTTCTTGAAAATGTGAGCACACCAGGAGCCACGATTTTACAGGATGCTTTAGACTGTCATTCCCTAACAATCCAGTAAGGTATTTCGTGATAATTTGATCATTTCGTTTTTCGATATTTGCAAATGTTGTATCTTCCCTTTAAAACCAACAGGAAGTCTTTGATTTCGAGTCCTAAGATTTAGGAACGCGAGTTTCAAAACAAAGTTGTGAAAGAAAGGAAAATACAGCAATATCAATAAGGACGTGGCCATGACCTCTCAGTGTGGTGTACATGGCTAATTAGGATAAACAAGGACCATGTGTCAAGCAGCTGCCACTGACAAGAATTTGCATTGAGAAAGAAATTCTCCATGTAACCTCTGCCATTGAGCAGGGCCCATCCAAAATATGTCCAATAGTTTGTCAAATGGTTGTGAAAAGGAACATTCTGGGGCCAATTTTATTGAGGGGTTTGGGCACAGAAGTGTTTTAAGCATGAAACGTATTCGCTCTGCAAAAACACATTACCTAACGCGTATTTTATTGAATTACTGCTGCTTGTGAATGCTTCCCAGGTAATTCATGCTTAGCACACATTTATTTGCTAAGCTACCGGTATACATCCTGTTTGTGATGGCAACTCCATCACAAGGACCCCAAAATATCCACTTCAAACAACAGCCTTTCCCATTTTGCTATAGAAAAAAAGCCAATCAGTGGGGTCTGCATGTGGCTTGCTGACCAAAAATTGTGGACTTTTTTTTCAGGGGGGGGGGGAGGGGGTTATAATCTGCAGCTTACACCTATTGTGTTTCCCATAATGAGCCATACCCACTTTTCAGGGAGTAAGCTAGCAAGGCTTTCAACAGAAATTCAGCAAGCATTTAAGACTGTGGTTCTTTTGTTTGGCAAAGTACATGTAGGGGCATAATCATGGCCAATTACTATGTAGACAGCCTAATTGACTCACAAAGACCACTTAATCTTTTCTTTGGTTCAGTCATAAGTCACATCATTGTGTATATTACAGGTATTAGGGCCTATAGCAAGTCAGGACAGAGTACTTGGAATGAATGAGTTGGGTTTGAAGCTTTGCAACATGCAGCTTTAGCTCCATGCACTAATGAATGAAAGCTTTGCGGAAACACCAGCACGACAAGTAGTAGCCCAGTAACACAGGACATTATAGGAAGGGGAATTTCATTCTAGAACAAGGTCCCAGAAGTCAGGGAAAGGGGGGGGGGACACTGAAAACCAAACATGATAAATTATAAACAAACTCATGAGTCATGACTGTTAATTATCAATGTCAACAATTAAATGTTGATACATGAATGAATTATACACGATTTAAATAAGTTTGAACTCAGCACAAAAGAGTTTAAACAAACTTTTTGATTCACGTTATTAGGACTACCACAAAGTATCAGTACCAATGAATTTCCTTGATAATTAAAAGTATTTTGGGGCAAGTAGGCCCTATGACTTGTAGAACTTAAAGAATCTAACCTACAGTAAAGAGATATCCTACCTCTAGGCTAGCCCCACTTGTGTGGCCTCAGTATTGCTGCGCTGTACATTAGGCCACACGTCTGGTTTCCCAACTTACTGAGGAGTTTAGTCCAAACACTGGCGCATATGAACTCCAGAAAGATTTCTCAAAAAATTTGAAGAAAGATATACAGCGCAGCAATAACACGGCCACACTAGTGGGGCTACCTGCTGTAGGCTAGCTCTAGGTTTTATGATGAGTATGCTCCGAATCCAACATAACAGAATAAAAAACATCAACAATCATGACAATTATGATGATTCATCAAAGACGATATTCAACTTTTCAAGCAATTTTAAATGCAACAAGGCTTAGGATTCTTGGATATTTCAGAAAGGCCAAAATGCAGTGAAATACACTTGTTGATGTATACATGACTACAGATATTGTAGCTTGGGAAACATTAGCTTTATGATGATGAATGATAATAATGCCATGCACATCGAACTTGTAATCGTGACACTCATGACACTTGTTGTTTCATGACGCTTACCTTGCTTTTGTGTTTGCTGGCCAACACAACCGCAACAACGCACAGCAGAATCACCACTCTAGAAAATGACATGTCGACTTCAACTCCTCCGAGTCACAAGACTTCGGGTAAATATCTGAAGAAGTAGGGGGGCCTAACCAAGTAACTCGGTAGTCGGGATGCGACACTTGACGATCAAACAATCTGCCTTTTTACGGGACTAAGGACAAATTGTGTTTTACACTGACTGCCTGATCGACAACAAACTATACACCACCGGCCCACACCACGAGTGAACGTCTTAAGCTAGACGTCTTACATGTCTTATCGTCTGGGTCAAGACCCCCTCTGGCGAGGCTAAACAAACAAGGCTCTAGACTGGTACAACTGTTTGGTTGAGACTAAAGCGGTTTTTCAAACTTCGGTTTTGTTCCGGGTGGGGCTTCGTGTTGCGTTGGGACTTGCGTGAAGATAGACAATTTAATTTTGATTCAAAGTTTCAGTTCTGTTTGCGAAAATATAATGGGTCTAAATAAATTGGGCCAACGAAAAAGTGCGGCCCGAACAGCAACCAAGAATTGTCTTTTGTCTTTGGGATAATGCATGTATTTGCTGGTGTAGGCCTATAGTTCCAGAAAGAAAAAAAACCCCGACAAATCGTATATTAGGATCAGCAGCAGCCGATTTCACGAAAGTAGAGCGTAACTTGCGCCATGTCGTAAAGTTTCGTGAAATCGGCTGCAGACCTGTAAATTGACTCCCCAATAATTACATACACGTACCTCCACATTTTCTTTTGAATACTCACCACTCTAGATCTCCCAGGCGTTTGAAATTTTAATGTTAATACATCTGTAGTATAGGTTTTCCCCGGTCAATTTCTTAACGTTCATTTACCTCTGAAAATCGGTCATTCGTTTTCGTCTTAATTTGAGAATCGCTCTGAGGCATGTTTCATTTTCGCTACCAGAGCATTCGATTCCATTTCAGTTCAATCAATTAAGTGATTGAGCAGCACCTTTCGTTTCTGGTCATTCAGATTCGTTTAGCCTAGACTTCTTTTTCGCTTTTCGAGGGCAATTTCAAACATTGACCATTCTATTTCACTTTTAGTTAAATGTTCTGTGATGTAATCTGCTAATTGGAATTAGGATAATGTAATTTTGATTGCACATTCACGAACTTGTATTTCAGAACTCTGCACGAAAAGGTATGCTTGCGTAAATGAATGCACAGGTAAAATAATTGGCCGTCTGTTTCTCAAAACCGAATGCACAGACAATGAAAACGTTTGAACTTTCGTTGAATTTAAATGGGATTGAAGACGTGCATTCAAATTCAGACGAAAAAGAATGACGGATTTTCAGAAGTGAATGAACGTTTCAGGAAATTGGCCGGGAAAACCTATATTTCTTGAGTTGTTGCCCCTTAAACGAGTTTGTTCTGTATTTCAAAATTGAAATGTCGTCCAGTGATTGGTCATGATGACTGTGTAATATGATGAGATTTAATTTTATGGGAAACCTTCAAACAATAACAAATAATATGACCGAAACAAATAAAGTATTTTAAACGCGAAAAATATAGGTTTTCTCGGTCAATTTCGGCAAATGAGCAGCCAATTTAATTTTCGTGCGTTCGAATTGAAGCTATTTTGCCTCTCCAGTTGTTACTGCGTTTCAAGTTCAGAATTTGGCCATTCAATTTCGTTTTGAGGCATTCAAATTCCTTTAGCACTGTGTTCAATTTAGCATATCGTCATTCTTTTTCGTGACACACAATCATCATTAAATTTAGCAAAGCTGGTTCGACTGGAGATTTTACTGATTTAATTTTTTTCAATTTCGTAAAGAGGCAATCCATTTCGCTTAAAGAGAATTCAAATAAGTACGACTAAAGAAATACGAATAAACAGATAAACTGTACTAGGCAACCGTTTCGTATCTTCACTTTAATTCAGGCAAACCTTGTTTTCTTTATTTATGCTTCCAGTAGACTTTACATGGGGCCAATGAGGTTTTTTCTTCTTCTTTGTTTTCTTCTTCATTCTTTTTTTTTTGGGGGGGATCTTTATTGGTTAACTGATCAAGACCTAATTTTGTATTGTGTTTGATTGGGGTGTTTCTTTATGTTTTTCCTGGTTTCTTATTGTTTATGTTGTTTCTTCCTCAACCATCAATCTGTTAGCGTGCCAGACATCTTAATTGGCATATATGTTTGGGTATGGTTGTACCACTGCATGCACCTCACTTGGGTGATGACATCAACGCTCTGGATGGCTGCTTGTTGAATGAGATCGCACCTCCACTGCTGCATGTTCATTCCTGCTTGCTGGGCAGCCTGTCTGTCTCCGACACGTTGTTGCCACTCAGGTAACCCAAGGATGCGTTTAACTGCAGCCTTGAATGCAGAGTGTGCCATCTCCGTGCTGTTCAGGAATGGGGAGTAGGGAGGGGAGCGCTTCAGCTGGATCATTGGGTTGGCACCTTCAGGGAGTTGGGCTCGCACGTGAGGCCTCGCATTGTCGTATATGAGGTAAATGGGTTCGTCGTCTGGGAAAACTGCATAACACTCTTGAATTGTGTCCGCAAGAAACTCCTCGAATCTCTCTCGCGTCACAGTTTCGAATGCGATTCGGTGGTGCACCAAGCCTACTTCACTAGAAACAGCGAAAGTGGCATTGCAATTTCTCCCTCGTTGTCTGTCGACGACTCGTCTTGCAGCGATCCCTCGTGGAGCTCTACTCTGGGAGCGTCGAGTCCAGACGTTATAACCTGTCTCGTCAATGAAGACTAGATGCGCCAGAACACCATGCTGCAGGAACCACTCACCATACTGGACGCGTTGATCAAGGACTTCAGGGGAATTTCTTGCATCAGGGACGTCCCCCACTAGTTTCAGTGTAATCATCATCCCATCCAAGGCCCTGGCTATTGTGGCAGTAGAAACCTGTGGCTTCTCTGGCAGATGCTCACTCAAACTAGCCTTCATTTGTTGAAGTGTCAAGACGGGATTAGCGTCAAGGATGCCTTGCAGATGGTTTCGCATGTCATCATCCATCTTGCTGTGGGTTGCTCCTCCTCTTGCCAGCGTCTCTCGCCTTCCAGTCCTTAAATATGTTGCAACAATTGATCTGGCTGTGGACTTGTTGATGTTGAAATTGACCGCAAGCTGAAGGTAGTCTTGCTCGTTTCCCTCGAAGGCCTCAATCAACCTTTCTCGATCCACCTGGGCCATTCTAGCGTAGCGACCACGAGCTGCCATTTCTAGAAATATGCGTGTAAAACTGTAGCGAAAGCTCGTCTTCGAAGTACATCGGCAAAGTGACTCAAGTGCCAAAAAGTGAACCGTATTTATGCCTTCAACATTCTTAAGGAAACACAAATTTAACAAAGCGTTTTTTAGATTGCACAAATTCCAGAAATGACTGCCCAAAAATGAATTTGAATGACTAAACACACGCCTCAAAAAGCTCCTGCGAATTTGAATGCTGCTTTGTTAAATTGTTAAATTGCATGATTATTTTGTTAAATCGAATGACGCAACAGTACATTTGACTGGTCATTAAACGAAATCGAATGACCCTTTTCAGTAGCATTTGATTTCGCGCGAAATAGAATAGCGTAGTGGTTAAATTGGCTGCTCATTTGCCGAAATTGACCGAGAAAACCTATATAAACCGAATGAAAAAAAGAAAGTTAACGCCCGCGGACAAAATAACACACTCGTTGTTTGGGCAATAACCCGAGCCTATGCAGGCCCAGCCGTATTAAGTTGTAAATTCGGCAAGTGATCGGTCTTGATGTGTTACATAATGAGATTCAATTTCGTGAGAAATCGTCAAACAACAACTGAAAGTTTCTTTCGAGAAAGGGCGCGCTAAATAAAACTAGTGGTCTCGCACCAAGACAAACGTGCGCACGTGCCTATACTTAAGCTAGTTTCGTTCAATAGAGGGCGCACCACATAAATAGTGGTCTCCACAAAGCATCAACACGGACGTTGTACTTTTGTTAAACATAGACGAAAATTCGATAATACATCTTGTATTTCTTGAGTTGTTGCCTCCCAAAAAGAGTTTGGTGGTGGATATCGAGAACACTACTTTTTTGGCGCGCCCTCTATTGAAAGATTATTCAAGTAGGTATTGGTGCTAGACCAGTAGGGGTGCACCCAATCAAATAAATTCCCACAGACAACAGTGATAAAAAGCCCATGCTTCAAAATTCTTATAAATAATACTCAAAACTCTCACGGGTGTTCAGGCTGCACAGAAAAATGATGAGCAACATGTCATCTTTCATTTTCCTTTCAATTTTTGGTGGATTGACATATGAATTTTTCGAAACATTCAAACCCAAAGAAGACGACCCCCAAAACAAGTGATTCTTCCCAGCCCAAAGTGGAAAGGTAGCCATTTTGAAAACAGATCCATCCACAACATGGCTAAATAGCGCCAATTTCGGGCCCGATTGTATCCCACATGCTCTGAATTGGAAGCCCCAAGTCTGGGCCAGAGGTGTATTGACATATCTCTTCAATCTCTAAATTCCATGGCACTCAGAACTCTCTAATATTTTAGAAGAATTTGAGTGTATAACTTTTATTCATGAGCTCGGCGGACGGAATGTTGGCCTATTAACACGGGTGCCCTTTTAGGGTTTCAGACCTGCAAATCGACTCCCAAAGTGATAATTACCCTTTCCTCCACATTTTTGTTTAAATATTTACCACTCTAGATTTCCAAGGCGTTTGCCAATTTCAATTTTAACACATCTAGTATTTCTTGAGTTGTTGCCCCTAAAGAATTTGTTCTGTATTGCAAAATTAAAAATTCGTTAAGTGCTTTCTCATGATGACTGTGTGTGGAATTTTTATGGGAAACCGTTGAACAATAACAAATAATATGACCGAAACAAATACAGTATTTTAAACGCGGAAAATACAAACCGAATGAAAAGAAAGTCACCGCCCATGGACACATTTTATAACACACTCGTTGTTTGGGCAATAACCCGAGCTAAGCCAACCAGGCCCAGGACATTCAATTTCGTGAGAAACCGTCAAACAACTGAAAGTTTCTTTTGAGAGAGGGCGCGCTAAACAAAACTAGTGGTCTTGCACCAAGACAAACGTGCTAAACTACTTAATTTTCGTTCAATAGAGGGCGCGCCACATAAATAGTGGTCTCCACAAAGCATCAACACGGATGCTGCACTATTGAACCAAAACGAACAACTCGTTTTACACGCGAAAATCCACGGTGACTTGAATTCATTCCGATTGTATTTGTCGCGCTTAAAACACTGTATTATTACGGTCATAATAGCTTCATTGTTTGACGGTTTTTTATGAAATTAAATCGAGTTAATTTTCGTTGATGTTTTGCAAAACATAATGACAAATCAGTAGACGAAAATTCCATTTAATACATCTTGTATTTCCGGAGTTGTTGCCCCCCCCCCCCAACTCGAGTTTTGGTGGTGGATATTGAGACCACTATTTATGTGGCGCGCCCTCTATTGAAAGAATATTAAATTAGGCATTGGTGCGAGACCACTGGTGCACCCAATCAAATCAATTTCCATAGACAACCGTGATAAATGCCATACTTCAAAATTCTTTTAACAAAAATACTCAAAACTCTCACAGGTGTTCAGGCTGCACAGAAAAATGTTGAACCACATGTCATCTTTCATTTTCTTTTAAATTTTTGGTGGGTTGACCGATGACTTTTCGAGAAATTCTAACCCAAAGAAGACGACTCTTAAACGAGTGATGTTTCCCAAAGTGGAAAGGTAGCCATCTTGAATACAGATCCATCCACAACATGGATAAATAGTGCCATTTTCGGGCCCTATTGCATCCAAAATGCTCTGAATTGAAAGCCCCAAGTCCGGGCCAGAGATGCATTGCCATATCTCCTCAATTTCCTAATTCCATAGCTCTTAGAACTCTCTGATAGAATAGTTTACGTCCAATATTTTGCCATGGTATTTGACACAAGAATCTCGAAATTTGACAGGAACCGCGAAAGAATGTATATTAAGTTTAAGGAAATTGCATTTTTAGGCCAATTCGCCTCATTTTATCCTCATCATTTTTTTTCCCAAAGAGGTCGTGCTTTATAAACACTGCTCACCGCACGCTGACTTCTGCCCATTTGCGATATACACAAAGCTATTGTAATGACAAAATTTCACTTTGCATAAAAATGAAATCTCGTCCAATATTATGTCATGATTTTTGACAAAAGAATCTCGAATATTGACGGGAACCATGAGAGACAGTCAGTCAGGTCAGGTCAGGTCAGGTCAGGTCAGTCAGGTCAGGTCATGTCAGGTCAGTTAGGTCAGGTCAGTCAGATCGGGTCGGGCTTATTCAAGTCTAAATCACTAGAGACAGTCAGGCAAGCTACTTCTGATCAGGTCAGGTCGTTCAGGTTAGGTAAGGTCGGGTCAGGTCAGGTCAATCAGGTCGGGCCAGCCAATCAGGTCAGGTCAGTTCGGGTTGGGTCTCAATCTTAGACAGTCAGTGAGGTCAGTTAGGTCAGGTCGGTTCAGGTTAGTTCAATTCAGATCAGGTCAGGTCAAATCAGGTCAGTCAGGTTGGGTCGGGAAGGGCTTAATATTCTAGTCGAAATCACAATAGACAGTCCGGTCCGGTCCGGTCGGTCGGTGCGTGCCAGTGTGCTAGATAAGTGCTAAGAGTATAGGCTTGCCCTCTGGGACCAGCACAACTTTAGTCTCGACAGATACACGTAAGGCCATGAGGCACTTTAAAAGATCACTGACAGTAATAAATGATATCTAGAAACAACACAACGCTGCAGGTGCACGCTTACACTCTATCTAAAGTGCTTTTATTGAATAAATGTCAATTAAACACAGAAAAGAGACGTGGAAGAAAAAGCCTTGTGTCGTGATATGCCAAACTTTCTCCATCATGTCTCTGACTAAATAATCAATTAGTGTAATTGGCTTTAAAGTCACCATTTGCAGATTAAGTTTGTTTTTGCCATTTCAAGAAACAAATACCAATAACTCTGAAGCAGGTTATTAATAAAGAAAATGTCGAAATAATGCGCAGTAGATGTCATACTTTTGAGAAACTGTAACAATGCATGCTTATTTTTTTCACGGAAAGCATGTTTTTGTTGACTGTTTGAAGGTTAGGTCCTAACCATCGTGAGGTAATGATGGTTTTTCTTTTTGCCTGGAAAAAGACAGAATATTGGGCGAAAATTATTTAACAGGATGCTTTTTATCCTTTTATTTTCTGAAAATTAAGAAGGATAATTCATGATATTTTGATAGTTTTATGTTTGAATGTTTGCAAATGGTGCCGATTACTTTCATCCACTTTAAACATTAAACAAGGGGGAAAAATGAAAAAAAGGAAGGAAAAACAATTTGCTAAGGAATATTTACAGTAACAATTTTTTAAATCTATTTCCACCAGTTACTGAGATTCATGCTTAACCGTGAATGCGGGAAGGACAATTAATAAAGAGTAATAATCTACATGTATATATAATAATGCTCATTTCTAATAAGGAAATAGTGTATACCAGATTTGCCAAGATAATTAAGTAAGGTATATTGGATATTTGAAAAGTTTCATGCAATATTTATTATAATTTTATATAGTGCTGTAGAACAAACTTGTCGGCAGTGCATACTGAATAATATTCATTCCATGGGTTTACGAAGTGATTTTGAGTGGGTAAACTATTTTGTATTGACTCAAATTTACACACTTCAAATAGCGCCCTCTTATTGCGTTCACCATACTTCAACAAGTCAAATAGTTTGGGACGCTTAAAGTAATTATTATCAAAGTTTCCGGTGCACTTTCATCCGCAGAATGTCAAAACGTAGTGTTTTCTGGGTCCCAGAGAGTCCTGTGTAAAATGTCTGACAATTGACTTTTAGTTTAAGAATTATTCAAATAATTTATTTGCTTTTCAAGCTACGGAATTGTAAAAACAACCACCGTTTTAAAGTTGTGTGCACGGATCACACAAAAAGTGTGCGTTTTTTTCAGCAAACCGAAATCAATTCACATACATCCCTATGTAATTTATTTCGTTTTGCTGAAAGAACACTTACCCTTTTGTGATTTGAATGATTCTTGTACTAAAAAAAGCTCATGAATTCAGCTTTCATATTCCAGATTTTGAAAGTGCTGCATGCAGAACTTCACTAAAACAATGGTCCCGACATTTGGGTTTAGTCTTTTTTTTACTCATCCTGTTATCTTCAGTCATGGAAACTTCAGTCTGGCAACTTGTTTTGGGCTTTATATTTATCGGATCCTTCCTCAAAATACAATAAGACGTGACATACCCATGCTGCTTGATGTTGCGGGGAATTTAGTTATCCATCCATTTATAAGAATGTCAATCTGCTGTAATATTACGAGAGTCAATCGTTCGCCGCACACAAATAGATACGCCGCCATGTTTGTTTGTGTTATGCCTTGATTTGATGTTCAAGATGGCGTACCATTGATAAAGGTCTTTTGACTTATACATTGGCTAATACAAACAGCTTCACGGGCGGATCTACCATTCAGAAAACATGGGGTGGGTAATGTTAAGGGGGGGGGGGTGTGAAGAGGCTGTGACTGCTTGGGGCCCGGGCATGCCCCCCCCCCCCCCCCCGCCCTGACAATTGTGAAATCTACGATGCTTTTTCCGCCAGTCTATAGCACTATTTGGGAATATAGGAACTTTAGAATTCCTTTGCTTTTCTTTGGGCCCCATTTTACTAGTATCATAAATAAATCAGCAGCTCAGGGGTTGCATTAAGCCACAGATTTGGGCTTAATATGAAATAAATAGAGCGAGTATTTCTCAAATGCTTTTTTGTCCAAATTACTAAATTTCAGGATAATAATTTCTCCCATACTAATCCTTTGTAGACACACCGTACCTTCTAGCAACTAACACATAATAATTCTACATTTCTCATAACAAGGAAATTTCTTTCTTAAATTCGTACATAACATTTCTCGTACTCGTTGTCATGTTCTTAAGTTATTAAGTCCTTACAGTACACAGGAAAAAGCAAGCTTGCTGTACGACTGTCCAGATTTCTCTGGAGATTTGCCTTTCTTACCAATCGGCTAATTATCTATACGTACACCCTGACTAACGATTTCAGCAGTATGCATTTTAAATGCATCAGAAATATAGATTCACAAATTTTAAGGGAAAAAAAGCTAATAATATTCATCAAATTTCATCCAAACTACAGAATAATTTTGAGTAGAGCCGGTATTTACAAGCATGAATATTTTGCTTTTGTTCTACGACAGAGCTACCTTTTGACGTTGAAATCACTTGACTCACTCGTCGGCAATGTAATGAGTCTGACTTAATAGCAGCCAATCACTTCAAACCTCATGCAGCAAGACCAATGCCATTCAGTGGGGTGAATGCGCAGGATTCTGGTGCGCAAGGCAAACGGCAGGCTAGTAGTTACAAGGGTGTTACTGTCCTTGTTACCAGGGAACTGTTCAAACAAGAAGATTGGTGTGTTCAGGTTGAAGACATTCCAATGGATTCATTATGTCCAGTGGCATATCGGGGGGGGGGGGGGCAGGGGCAGGGGCACCGTGCCCCCGATGATTTTTTGAAAGATATTTTGCTCAGTAAGTATTTCCATAAGTGTTCAGAGAGTTCTGACATCAACCCAAAAAAGAATACCAGCCAAAAAAGGCATTACTATGCGCCGTGAAAATCGGCACATAATTTATTTTCCAGTATGCATAATAATGGTTTTGAAGAGCGCCCCTATTTGGAAGATGCTCCTCCCCCGGCTTATTGATTTTATGGAGGCCAAGTGTCGGAAAAAAAAACATGTCCACATTTCGCTGTGGATGTGAGGTTGCCTCCCCCCCCTCACATCAAAAGCTGGATACGCTACTGATTATGTCGTAACAATAGTAAGCAAAACGACTTTTGACATTTTGATATATATATTAAACATTTCTATTAGTCAGAAGGATAAGACCCAATTTTAGACAAGATCGTGACCGACTGGTCCAAAGCACCAAACCTGGCAGATATTCTGGTATATCCACAGAGAAGATGTTTAGAAGGGGCGGTACCTGAAATTCTTTTGGAAAGGGTGCCTAATTTGCATAAATCGTTAATCCCTACCGTGAATTACATTTATTCCCATATTAGAGTACATTTTTGATTTTGTTTATTGAAAAGTATACTTTGGGATTCCACTTACACATCCTTACTTCAATGTCATTTTCTAAAGCATTTAAGACTGACTGGATAATTATGAGGACATAGTAACGATAAAAAATGGCTACTATTATACCCTCGCTCATTAACCTTGTCTCCAGAACTGATATCATCAGTAGACTTGCCAAATAGTATCGATGAGCTTCAAATTCACCAAGTTGCTTACTGGCACAGTTACTCGTTTAAAACTTCATGGAAAATCATGTGGACAATGATAACATTGTGATATTTAGCCCAGAAAACAGAACCGGGGAGCTTGATCAAATCCCCCACGATAGGCTTCGCGTAATTTTAAGCCCAATTTACGGACACCTCATTTTCCCCCTTTTTGTTTTTCGTGGGCTAAATATCAAGATGATTAATTTTTCACATGATTTCTCATTTATTTTTGTTAGGATAACTGTGTCATTAAGTAACATTGTGAATTAGAAGCTCATCAATACTGAGATTTGGCAAGACTACTTGATGATATCTGAGGGAAAAGCAAATGCACGCAACTTTAAGGTATACTGGTAGCCATTTTGGATCTTTATTATGTCCTCATAATCTTCAAGTCTCCGAAATTCTTTAGAAAATATTATTTAAGTAAGGATATGTAAGTAAAATCCCCAAAATATACTTTTCAAAAATAACAAAAATAAAGATCTACCCAAATATGGGAATAAATATTACACAACAGGAATTAACGCTTTATGCAAATTAGGCACTCTTCCCAAAATAATTTCAGGAGTCACCCCTTCTAAATATCTTCTTAAGGGCTATAATAATCTATCTGCCAAATTTGGTGCTTTGGACCAGTCGGTCAAGATTCCAACCGTACGCAACCTGACTATATACCTTTATTGGTGTGCCGTCTGCATCAGTCACGTTATTCCAGGACTGACCGTCATCGCTGTACGTCACTTGGTACTCCGTCACCCAAAAGTTGGCATCTCCGCGCCCCTGGGTGATCAGACCAGTGATGGTGACTATGCCAACAAAGTCAACCTGTATCCATGGACTATTATCAGTGCTGTCATCGTAACACCACCCTTCAGCGTATCCTGTACAACAACAACAAAACCTAAGATTTTTTACTGCATTCAACGATTTAGCCATATTGCAGGAGATCTGGCTCAAATTGGGACTTCGAGGTATGTTTAACAATCTTTGCCAATAATCTTTGTCTGCCACAACGCTAGACGACTAAGTTGACTAGCGTATCGTCCATGGGCGTTTTTGGCCATTTTGAAAGGGGGGGGGGTCGAATCACGAAATTTGCCGACGGACCGTCACACAAAATATTTGATAATTTCCGCCCTAAAATATCCCTTCAATCCATTTCTAATTCCACCACATCATGTATCATAATGGTTTATTATGTTGATTTCTTTGAATGGAATCAATTTTTCAGTGGGATAAGTTCAACTTCAAACGAAAGAAAATCTTAAAAATTGGCCCTATCATATTGAAAACGTTTTGGACATGCTCGTCGCAAAACTGCGTGTACACGCCCACAGTACCTGTGGGCATACCTTGTTCAGGCCCATTCCCTGATCCCAGCCTGGGGGTTCCTTAAATCCTAAAGTAGATTGCTTTTTATATGCGAGCGGGGAGCGCGAAGCCCTGAAGGCGTGGGGTCCGGGGCCGCCTGAGGGCCCCGAAAAAGTTTGGGATTTTAGATGTTCTGTGGTGCAATGTGAAGGATTTTCTGACCTCTTTCCCCTGACTTTTTATGATGTACTGGCTCGTGTTTAGGGAGATGAGGGAGGGGGGGGGGTTGGGGGTCATCAAGATTGATGTATTACATCAAACTGAAGCTTGACACTCTGTCGAGTTTTGCCCTCTTTAGCTTGAGCCATGGATTTGAGTCGTCACCAAGGGGGGGGGGGGGAGCAGAGGGGCCCCGAGAAAATCATGAACGATGGTCTGTGTGCCTCTTCCATTCGTAAAAAAAGAGTTGTGTAAAATGGGGATAATAGAAATATCCCTTTTCAAGTCGTTATTTCTACGCTTTCTTTTTTTGGCAGTCTTAATTCAAACACTTGTTCCATACCAAATGTGCATATTAGTCTAGTATTGAAAGGCAAATTATATAAAAGAGTCTGTATTTGCTTCGTTCTGCCATGCAGCGAGTCCTGTACGACGACACGTGGTCCATGCACTTACAGTGTATCGTACAAACTTCATGACGCCCCTATAATTCCTGCTTAAAAATGATATGTTTTGTGGAAATGCTTTTTTAACATTTCGTTTTTATTTCCAAAAAAGATCATCTTTACTCCGTAGTCGTTTAAAGAAAATCTCTGAGTTCAATATGACCGTTTTTAAATCAAATTTATGAACATGACGTAAATAAAAAGGGTTCATCTCCACAGTACTTTTGCTGCGTTTCAGTGTGGCGTGATGACTGTGTGTGGGTCAGCGCACGGCCGTTGGGCGCTAGTCTGATTCCCAGACCTGACAATTATTCCCCACGCTCACGTCTAAAATTGTATCTCAGGCAGCCTCTGTGGCTAAAAGTAAACATGACGACATTGATGGCCTTTTTAAAGCTCGGCTTCGTTTCCGACTTCACCTAATCACTAATAGCTTTTAATGTTCTGATCAAATATTTAAATAAATCAATTGCTTCGTATAAACACACGGTCGTCAAATTCAAAAAAGTACATGACGCTGGAAAGTTCGCCCGTACGATCCGAGTATACTTGATGCACAAAATCGTCGTTGAATTTCAAGTCTTCTAAATGAAAGAAATGAATATTAATTATCAACTCATTTAAAAGTTTTTAATAAGCAATTAGCAGTTAATTAAACATATATTGTACTCAAAAAAAAAAAATACTAGGGCGCTTATTGCATAATGCGGACGTGCGGGAAACAACATTTATGTTGGTGTTGTGTGCATTATGTGACGCTCACACGACGTGTAATGTACATTGAATGGAAACGGCGGGAAATACGTATATGTATGCCACAAAAGTCCACCGCGTGCGATGTAAACATCTATTCATCCGTTTTTTTCTCAGAAACGGTAAGACATTAGGTTAGTTTCCTTTTAAGACATTTGAAAGAGTATAAAGAAACAACCCTAACAACATACTAATTTCGTGAATTTTAGGCCGAATAATATCCCTTAGTTAAAAGGGCCAGTACCCGATTTAACTAAACGATGCGACGCGTCGCAACTCAAGTTACGTTGTGTAACACGTCGCAACTCGCGATGCGTCGTATCATCCATTAAACGAAACTTGCGATGTGTTGAATGCGTTGTATTCAAGTGGTCATTGCCAAATAAGAAGAGCCAGTTTTATGCCGTAATCATCACATAAACGAGATTATAATACCGAGGCAGTGTGTGTAAAGTTGTAAATAGAAAATTCATTGAATAGTTATGAAATAACCTATAATATTGCAGTTACAATTTCAAAGTAGCTATACAGTCCAATGAGAGCTTGTTTTCCTTAAAAATTGCATCACACGGCCGCCATTTTATTTGACGTTTTAACAAATTTTGGGCGGAGATCCGACGACCTATTGTTGAATATCAGATGACTATTTACTGTACGCTGACTAAAGACTTCAAACAGTCATCAAGTTGTGCTATAAATACACCTACGACGCGTCGCACATACGACGTAGAGATACAACGCGTCGCAGCGCTGTGATACATCGTAAGTTACGAAGAGTTTGATGAAATCGGGTGCAGGTTTATATTTTGACCATCTCTCAGCCGGGGGGGGGGGGGCTAAGATGTCGGCCATCGAGTGACCAAAAACTTTGAAACTCAGTACATGCATAGAACAAGTAATACCATGAACATACCCAAGAAATTTCAGGACTATATGTCAAAGGATTTTGGAATTATGGCTAATTAATTATTCATCCACGAATGCTTTGTGTACACTGCGTTCATTGGGAAATTCAGTTTGCGTCGGAATTTTGTTTAAATGTTTTTGGTATTAAAAGATGCGCAAGGCTCGTAGCTGAACAGTCAGAACAGCTCGGGTCGCGATTTTTTTTTCCAATGGCTGTACGAAGTATAATGTGGTTAGTCTCAAATACAAATGCTTACCTTGAATATTAAGCCTGGCCCTGGGTGGGGCGTGGCTAGCGCTGTTACGAAAAAAAGACGAAGCTGTGATGCGTTCATCCGGGATGCAACCATCTTCCATCCCGAGAGGTCCCTCCACAGAGCAAGAAGAGTCTCCTGAGGAAAAATGTGCGATTGTTTTGAGAACAGGTTTTGTACCGAATCCCGTTACAGGGACGCATTTGAGTCCCCCATTTGCATGTCGCCGCCGCGTTATTATCGATCGGTACTACTGATGGCGGGTGCATTCATGATCGCAAAACAAATTGAATGAAGTAGCACACGATTAACTTCAAAATTATTTATTTTAGTCTAAACTATTTTCTTTATTTTGATCTCTCATATCATATTTGTGGTGTGATTGTTTAACTTCAAGAAGCTATCTCGATAAATAAAGAAAAACATCCCAGACATGTCAAAAATACTATTTAACGCACACAATTTTGATAGTCAAGACATCGTGCATGAGCTGCTACGCTGGTCATAAGTCTGCTTGCGCTAATTAAAAAAAAAACGTTGACATGTTCCAGATACATGACCATCACTCCCTAAGTCTGGCTGCCGGACGCACAATTACAAAATTACAACAACGTCTGCATAGGGTGCCCGACTAAATTGAGTACAAAACGTAAGGGAGCACAGAGAGGCCACATAAAGCTTATACTTGATTGTAACCTCATGCCTGCCTCGTCTCCTTCCTAAATGTCAATTGCGTTTGCACGAGTCGAGATGATAATTCTTCCAAATTTGCATATTACAACTCGCGACACAAAGGTCAGGTCATCCACACCAGATGCGTGATGTGAGATGGCAGATGGGGAACACCTTAGTAGCGCGAATTTCACTTTAATATTGCGCCTAGGCTCGTTTGAACGAGAGACAAATAAGTCATTTATAAGATAAATAAGTCGTTTTAACCAGATAAAAAAGTCGTTTAAACCAGATAAAATCCGTCGTTTAAACTAGATAAACAAGTCGTTTTGCGCAACTCTGTGAAATGTTAAACCAAACATTTGACAACCCTTTTTGGGTTAATCTTATTGCAAATGTGCACTTCTTTAAGTATTTAATAGTTTCCATGTTTTCCGGACTAACGCTGTTGCTGTGATGTCATTTCAGAAAGACACTGTTCAGTTTAGGGTTTTATCTTTCAAATTATTCATCCAAAATTTGCTAATTGAAAACATTTGTGGGAAAGGAATGGTCATTGGCTTACTGCCATGTACTGACACATCATACAATCACCAAATAAGAGAAATTTATGACAGCAAAATATCCAAAATTCTAGCAACTTTTTTTGCTGAAATAGCCGTGTAACATTAATCATGCTCGGAATGCCATCACGGGTTTTCTATTGAATGTGAAACTTTGCAATAGCATAAAAACGGAGAAAGCACCAAAACACCCCTCAAAATGTAAAATAAAACTTGCAAATAAGGTTAAATGTTACACAAAGATGTATTGCATTGAAAACCTTACATAGGCCTTATGAATATGGTAAGTGTTCGGTCAGACATAAGCAAGAAAACACTTAAGAATTAACGCAAGAGATGTGTTCCCGCATTTCCAAACATATTACGTGTCCTGATGTAGAAATCGTCAACGTAAAAAAAAACTTGATCAAACGTTTAAACAAGTAGAAAAGATCAACAGTGAAAACAAAATTATCTTAGTCCCGTTCAATTCATTATTTCGTTGCATCTTGTTTCCCTCATATCAGTTGATTTGTAGCATTGTAAATTTTACAGTCATCAAGATTTTTTTTTGAGGGGGGGGGGAAATGAACCTATGAGAAAAATAGGACAAAATATCGATTAAAATATCTTACTAATTTTAATTGACCAAACGATGAAAGCGATTGCCCATAAGCGAATAAGAAACGAAAACCATGGTTAAACGTTATAAGCGCACAGATGTTCGCTAATTTGAATGCGTCAACCGTCAAAATGTTTGCAAAGACTTAATTTCAGACTGCTACGAGTTAAGTCTTGAATGCACCAAAACGAAATAGGGTGCCCGAAAACGAACATTCACAGCAAAATCTTGGCTGCCTAAAAATGAAATTGAATGAAACCCAAATGAAAAAGAGACCCCAATTGGCCCACATGTGCAAAACTCACGCAAAATTGAATGACTGATATTGAAACTGATTAGAAAAATTCGGAAATTCGCCGGGAAAACCTATAGTTTCCTTTCAACCAGACCTTTGAAATAGGATAAGTATTAATCAATCCAAAACATGACATTTTCGGGGATTTTAGGCCGCAATTCCCATTAAAAACGTTAAAATCCGTGGATACACGAGAATGTTGCATGCCTTATTTCAATAATTTTGACTCGCCAGGGGGACTTTAATAGTTCTGATTGATTGATTGATTGATTGATTTGGTTGATTGCCATTTATATACAGCGGTGTACAATAGAAGGTGTCGTGGTTTTTGTGCTCAAAACATTAAAATACATTCAACTTTACACGCCGCTGTGCCCTCCAAATCCTGACTAGAAATCGCCGCCATTGGTGCGTATCCGATGGGTTACCCCAAGGGGTTACCAAAACTCTGTGATGAAAAAACATAAGTTCATGGAGTAATCCGCTTTCAGTTTTTTTTTTATGTTGCTCTACTTTTTAGTGAACCACACAATTGAAATAATTTGACTTTATTTGTTTATTTTTATCGATGCCTAATTGACATTTGGGGGAGAAGGCGAGGGAGAAAGCTAGCAATTATTGGTTGTGCCTCTTTTGTGTATTTTCCCGGAGTAACTGCATCATAAATGAACGAGGCTTACTTTATAATCAAATTGATGAGAGGAAAAATATTACCAGAAAGGCCTGGGCAATGTAATACGTTTTAGGATACTATAGGTTTTCCGGGCTATTTAAAAACATTTTCATTCAAATACACCAATTCTAACATTCAATTTCGTCCGAGACAAATTCAGAATGCTTAAAGAAAACCACTTAAATGAGTCATTTACCATTCAATTTCCAAGCTTTGTCACCCTCTTTAGTCACCGGGTCGAGAATATTCGACATTACAAATTAAATTCGTCTAAGCTGTTTCCGAATGTCAGCATTCAGAGATCGAATTCGTCTTATATAAATCAATTAGACGAATTTGAAAAGGTTGGCGTAGACGAGACGAGATAGAATACTCCCGGACGAAAAGGTGTAATCATTGTTTGAATTTACTTGTACGAACTGAATTTGAAATTGTCTGACAAAAGACAAAATTAAACATTGGAAGTGCACTAAATGGATGTTGATGGACGAATTTGAATATTAGAAACAGTGAATTCGAATGAAGAACGTTTTGAAATAGCCAGGAAAACCTATAATAAAAAAGTGACAACCGTGGCCCAATTTTTTAATTTTAATTTTAATCGACATTGGTATTTGTCTTATTTTAGGTTTTCCCGGCCAATTTTACTAAGTTTTTATTCATTTAAACGCTTAGCTCATTCGATTTAGATTGACATTGAAAGATCACGCAGATCGACATTTCACAATCAAAAAGAATCATTCAATTTCACTATCGTCCCCATCAAAAATGCGATCATTTTAAAGGTTTCGCGTTGTTCATTCAGTTTCGTCTAAACCAGCAGTAAAGGGTTGATCGGGCATTTGTTTTCATTAATGGGCAAGCATAAGTTACATTTTGTCAAACATCTTTTAAGACTTCATACGTGTCCGTATGAAGTCTTAAAAGTCTAAATCATTTTGATGACTTCAAACCGTAGATTGACTTTCTTTCTTAGTTAAAGGGTATGTGCAATGAATCTTTCTCAGGAATTCTTTTACGCAACTCTGTGAAGTGTAAGAAAACTACACATTTGGCAACACTTTTCGGGTTAATCTTATTTCAAATGTGCACCTCTTTAAGCATTTAAAAGTTTCCATGCTTTCCCAGCATAACGCTGTCACTACTGTGATGTCATTTCAAGAAGACACTGTTCAGTTTAGGGTTTTTTCTTTCAAATTATTTATCCAGAATTTGCTAATTGAAAACATTTTTGGGAAAGGGTTGGTCATTGGCTTACTGCCATGTACTGACACATCATATAATCACCCCCAAAATCAAATTTATTACAGCAAAATATCCAAAATTCTACCAATTTTTTTTTTGCTGAAATAGCCGTGTCACATTAATCATGCTTGGAATGCCATCACATGTTTTCTAATGAATATGAAACTTTGCATTAGCATAAAAACGAGAAGGGCACCAAAACACCCCTAAAAAAGGAAAAATATAGGTTTTCCCCGCGAATTTCCAAATTGTTTCAATCAGTTTCATTATCAGCCATTCAATTTCCTGTGAGTTTTGCACCATTGGTCAAATTGGGTTTCTCTTTCGTTTTGGGTTCGTTCAATTTCATATTTAGGCAGCCAAGATTTTGCTCTGAAGTTCGGTTTCATTTTTGGGCATCCTATTTCGTTTTAGTGCATTCAGGACTTAACTTGTAGCAGTCTTAAATTAAGTCTTTGCAACCTTTTGACGGTTGACGCGTTCAAATTAGCAAACATCTGTGCGCTTGTAAAGTATAACCATGCTTTTCGTTTCTTATTCGTTTATGGGCAATCGCTTTCATCGTTTGGTCATTTAAATAAGTAGAAAATTGTAATCGATACATTTCCTATTTTTCTCCGAGGTTCATTTCCTTCCAAGACTTGATAATTGTAAAACGTACAATGTTACAAATTAAATGATAGGCCCTATGAGGGAAACAAGATGTAATTATGGATTTATTAATTGAAGGGACTAAGATAATTTTTTTTTCACTGTTTATCTTTTCTACTTGTTTAAACGTTTGAGCAAAGGGCATCTTAACGTTGACGATTTCTTGACGTGCAAGACATCGTAACACCTATGTTTGGCAATGGATTTACCATCGGGAACATTTCTCTTGAGTTATTTCTTCAATGTTTTCTTGCGCATGTCTGACCGAACACTTACTGCATTCACAGGGCCAATGCAAAGTTAGTTTGCAATGCAAACCTTGAAAATACATCTTTGTGTCACATTTAACCTTATTTGCAATTTTTTTTTTTTTTCATTTTTGAAGGATGTTTTTGGTGCTTCCCTGTTTTTATGCTAATGCAAAGTTTCATATTCATTTGAATACCTGTGATGGCATTCCGGGCATGATAAATGTTACATGGCTATTTAAGCACAAAAAAGTTCTTAGAATTTTGGATATTTTGCTGTTATGAATGTCTTTCATTTGGTGAATATTTGATGTGTCAGTATGCATGGCAGTAAGCCAGTGAGCAACCCTTTCCCACAAATGTTTTCAATCAGCAAATTTAGGATAAATAATTTGAAAGAAAACCCCCAAAACTGAACAGTGTCTTCCAGAAATGACATGACAGTAACAGCGCGCTCATACGTAGTCCGGAAAAGCATGGAAACTTTAAGTGTTTAACCTTAAAAGGGCTGGGTTATTTTGACCATTCCGCCCCGAACCCTTAAGGGTAAAAGAAGTGCACTTTTGCGATAGGATTAACCCCAAAATGTTGTCAAGGGGGTAGTTTTCTTACATTTCACAGTGGTAAAGAGTTGCACAAAAAGAATTCCTGAGAAAAAAATCATGATTTACGCTAAGGAATACGGACACGTATGAAGTCTTAAAAGAGGTTTGACAAAATGTGAAATATGTTTGCCCATTAATGAAAACGAATGCCCGATCAACCCTTTACTGCTGGTTTAGACGAAATTGAATGAACAACGCGATACTTTTAATATGAATGCATCTTTGAAAGGGACGAGTCAAGCTAAAAGAAGATAATTTGCTCGGATAGTGAAATTGAATTATTCTTTTTGATTGTCGAATGCCGATCTGCGTGCTCTTTCAATTTCAATCTTAATCGAATGAGCCAGGCGTTAAATTGAATGACAACTTGGTGAAATTGTCCGGGAAAACCTATAAAACTTGCAAATAAGGTCAAGGGTGACGCAAAGATGTGTTTTTAAGGTTTGCATTGAAAACTGTGCATGGGCCCTGTGAATACGGTAAGTGTTCGGTCAGACATACGCAAGAAAACATTTAAGAAAAAACGCAAGATAAGTGTTCCCAACTGTACAACTACTGCCAAACATACGTGTCCCGATGTCT